GATCTATTAATTACCTTACGTAAGCCACTCCAACTACTCTCTCTCTCTCTCTCTCTCTCTCTCTCTCACGCACACACAAAAGCAGGAGAACATATATATATGCATGCAAACTTATTCCCCCATTAATACAAAGATACATGTGTGTGTGTGTGTATATACAGGTAAGTTATATAAATTTATATTTAATCTATGCTTTATAGATTCTACATTTTTGTAGAAATTATATTTAAATAAGAGAAAACTGTTGCATCATTTCCTCTGTTTTTTATTTCTCTTTTCCTTGCTGATGGTGGTTCAACTACAGCACATACAAGTCAACTACCATGCCTTGTATCCATTTGGAATTCATTTGTGCTATATCAGTCAGCAGAAGGTTCTTGATTTTCCCAAAATTTGCTGTGAAACTACGCCACTATGGTGCTCTGAATATAATGATGCCCCAAATTCTATGAGACAGAAATCATACAAACCAAAATGACCAAGATAAAATAAAGGAGTTGTCCCAAAATGGACAGTCATATTGACTTTGAGACAACAAAATTAGGAGAGTTCCTCAGTCAACATATTAAAAAAAAAAAAAATTGGAGAGTTCCCTCAAAAAAAACGGTCATCAAAGGAACAATATGATTTGAACATTAATAATGAGAAGAACAATCGGCAAAACTTTTGTGAACCATACATCTAGGGTCACCCTTATGAAGAAAATGCCACCTCTCAAGTCAAAAACTTGGGAAGTCATGAGAAACCTTTCGAATCATTCTTTTATTATTTTGATTTTCTTTCTTTTGTTTGGTAGTGTAGTTGCGATTCGAGTTATATGGGCCAACTTAATCACCAACCCAAGAGCCAGAAACCCTTTTTCATTTGTCAAATTTTCTTTTTTCCTCATTAGCCTTATAAAATATCAGACTAGATCAGTTGTGTTCTACAATCAAATGTATAACACTCATGCTGCATAAAATAATTGCATTAGAAAAACTATAGTCAGACTTGATACAAAACAAAGTAATACCTGCTTAGTGAATATGAAAATGATTTATACTTTGATTAGCCAAAGTTTGTATTTTTTTAATTTTAACAATATAATGAGAAACCCCAATTTCATATCTATAGCATGACCAAAGGAGAGGAAGAAAAGGAGATCATTACCTCACTCATGGATGGCCTCCACATGGCAGAAGGCCTAATGCACAAGGATGCATGGTTTTAATATCCAATTGCTGAACATCATATTGACCTTGAAGCCTTGGATCTGCCAAACTATGAATATCCCCAGCTTCCAAATAAAGCTGGGCCTGTAAGAAAATATTTCAAAAGCTCAGAAAAAACCCAAAAAATGGAAAATGACCTTCCACAGAGAAGTGCAAAAAGTATAAAATGTATCCAGTTTCAGAACAAGGTTGTACCTGTAATGTAAATACTCAAAGCTCAAGAATTGGAGTACCCAAAAAATGCATCCTTTTTTTCTGTCTTTTTTTTTTGGCTGAGGACCCCAAAATTGTATAGAGAGAAATCCAGCAAACGAGAAAAAGTTACAGAAATTTACCCAGTTAAATAAATTAAGCTGAGACCCGTTGACAGGTTTTCGACCAGAGATGGCTTCTAGTAGAAACACACCGAATGCAAAGGCATCGGTCTTTTCATCCACAATCCCTTGCATGAAATACTCGGGTGCTAAGTATCTGCACATTGTTCATGAGGGCCTCGGCCTTCAACCCCATAATGTTTTTAGCTTTAAAAACCAAAAATTGCAGAGAGTCAGAGGAATTGAGACTACAAACTCACCCAAAAGTGTCTTCTATGGGAGTTACAGAATGATGGGTCCACTGAGAAGCCATTTCACTAATCCGAAGTCTGAAATCTAATATAAACAAAACAATTCATAGGAAATATGAGAAAGCTGGAGTTACGCTGGACTTAATCAATGCTTTCATTAATGAAAAAGGAAAGAAAAAAAGAACATGAACAATTGCTTGTGGCTCAAAATCGGCAGTGAGAAGAACATTCGAAGCATTCAAAGCCTTGATATCCCTGTGTATTATTCTTCTCTGACAACCTTTGTGCAGGTAATGGAGGCCTCTCATTGTTCCTATAACCAACTTATACCTTATCCTCCATTCATCACAAGTAAATTCTCATCTAAAATCCAAAATATACCCATTTTAACTCTCTATCAACTAGACAGTCTACTTAACCAGAGAAAGGACAAAAAAAAAAAATTCTAGTAATTAGGACATTTCCATACAAAGGAAAAAAACTCAACTAGAACATTTAAATGCCAAGAATTTGATATTCAAAAGAGAAAGAAAAGAACCCAAAAATATTTATTAATCAGGAGTTTAGGACATTTAAATGAAAAGAAAATGGGAATGAGAAGAAAAATTTTGGGTTTAATTTATTTACCATGGAGAAGAGTAGAGACACAACCATGAGCTGAGAATTCAAAGATCAAATGGAGGCCATTGTCGATGCAGCAACCGATAAGAGAGGAAACGTTGGGGTGGCAAATGTGGCCGATTGTTCCAAGCTCTGTTAAGAACTCTTTTTCTTTTTGTTCATCACTCGAAGCTTGGGTCAATCTTTTCAAAGAAATCTCTTGGCCATCTTTTAGAACTCCTTTGTAGACCTCTGCATACCCCACCTTCCCCACCAAGTTATCTGATAGTCCATAACCCACATTGAGCTGGAATCAACAATTAGAGAGAGACCATTCAATCTCCATTAAAGCATGAATCAAAACTCCATTGCCATAGGAAAGAAAAAAACCAGCAAAAAATAAAAGAACACCAGCAAAAATAAATAAAAACAAAACGTTACCTTATTGAAGAAGATGAAAGCTTGCAAGTTGTGGGAGAAGCAAGACGCAGAGAGTTGTGAGAGAGGGGCAAGGGTTTGTCGCAGGGGCTGTGACAAAGGGGCGAGGGTTCCGTGAGAAGAGGGCTTTGAGAGGGGCGAGTGCGAGGGTTTGACGCAGGTTTTTTGCGTCCGTCATTTTTTTTGGCCCAAATTTTTTTTGCGTCCGCCTGAGAAACGGGTCCCCAGTGACTTACTCCCCACCTTGTGGGTTGGGGATTACATTTCACGTGAACCAAACATTTGTAACTGGACGATCCCTAATTGTATACACTTTCTTAACTAAAAACCTTCTATTTCTCGTAAATATGGAAAGCATTGTACATTTCAATGCAGTATCTACTCGTAACTGTATTGGTGTTCAGGAGTTGTCCAAGTTCTAATGATGTAATTTCCTTCATGTAAATCTTCCATTAACATTTTTTCAAAAAAAAAGAGTTGCCCAAGTTGGATCGGCACATGAGCAATCCGAATCAGACCATATTGGATCTACAGTTATGGAGGCTCACAAATAGGTTGTTGCAACCAGTCAGGTCGGTTCGAGATTTTCAATCTAGTAAACCAGGAAATTTTTCAAATCGTGGCTGGCGAGGTTCAAAAACTCAGCCCAGGCTCGAGACCGGTCCTGCTTGAGCCAAGTAGAATGGAGGTCCTGCTTGAGCCAAGTAGAATGGACTTGTCCAAGTAGTTTACAACCGAAAAAAGGTTTAAAGATAAAACTTTCAAGAATTTTGTTCAGAACAAAGGAAAATGGTAAAAAATCAACTAAAATATCAATAATATTAAAAGTTCAAAAAAGAGAGAAACATACGAAAGGGGGAATTTAGAAAAAATTGTCCATAACGGCAAACAATTCAAAAAACTTAAAAATCCATTTTTGTCCCTGGTATTGGAACTTAAAGCTGAAATAACAGTCAAGATTAAGTATATCTATAAACACTGAAAGATTTTTTAAAATGGATGGTTCAAATGCTTTGTTATATAGTTTGCTTATTTTAAAATTTAAATTTTTTTTTTTTCATATCCATATATCTTGAGATTGGCAAGGATTTTAAACATTATAGCAGAGCATGCTGTTAGGTTTTTGAGGTGATTACTTTTGTATTAAAAAGTTGGTCGTGAACTTTTTCCTTACATGTATTAAGTATTCACATATATTAAGTTACAATTAAAGGTAGGTGTTTCTGTCTGTGGGATTGTATATTATAAGATCATTATCAGGGAACAAGAAAGTTGCAGTCACCCTTATCTGTTAAAAATAAAATTGGGTGGCAAGGGTGTGTCATTTCTCTAGACAGTTCGAGACAAATATTCTCAGACTTTAACAGGATCAATGGCAAAATATCAATCATCCAGCTTCACACTAACTAAGGGTGATCATGATCTTATTGAACCACAAGTAAATAGTTTTTATTGTATACTTGTATACTTACTCTTCCTCTATGTTTAAAGCACCACATCATGTTAAAAACTAGCCAGAAAAGTCCCAAAATACAGGGAGTACTAAAGTAATGGACAACAATATATCTTTCTTTTTTTTTGAGTGTTGGACAATAGTATATCAACACAAGGCTATGAATAATATTAGCCATACTTCCAAACAAGAGGAGGAAACTCAGAACATCCTATGCTGTCTAGTTTGATCAGAATCTCTCCTTTTGACCCTTCTCTTCATTCTATCCGCAAAACGCAAAAAGATATTTGAAACATCAAACTTCCCCGAAAATTTCATCTTTTGTGCAAGTTCTTCTAGTATATTAGGCTTCCCAGCTCTAGAGAAATCAGCTGCAAACTTATTGTAATCAAATTGAGGTAGTTTCATCCCTTTGTTTATCATATCCTCAATGTACTTACAAGCCTCGTCAGATTTCCCTTCTCTTATGAGCCCTCCAATATAAACAGTGTAGGAATTATCATCAGGGCAGATTCCTTTCTTAGCCATTTCTTTCCATACAGCTCTCCCACTCTCATAATCTTTCACTAAAAAATACGACTTCATGAGCATGTTATACGTATGAAAGGTGGGTTCAAGGCCATCCGCAATCATCTTCTTATAAACCCTAGCTGCATCACCAGGCATATTACGATTAGTCATCAACTTAATCAGTGCATTGTAAGTTCGACCATCTGGTGGGCACCCTTTCTCTCTCATCTCTCTTAACAAACCATAAACACAGTCCATCTTCCTTGCATTACCAAACCCAACAATTAGACAAGTGTAAACTGCAGGATCGGGCAGACAACCCTTAGCTAGCATTTCATTGAAGAAATCCATGGCTTCCTCCATCTTTTTACCTTTGCAAAGGTGTCTTATCACAATTGTGTAGCTCCTCACATTAGGAGAAGGGCCCTTAGCTTTCATGAGCTTAAAGAGCTTGATCGCCTCAGAACGCCTATTACCCAAGAAAAGCCCCTCAAGCATTGTGTTATAAGCTACAATATCAGGCCTGAAACCCTTATCAATCATGTCGTTCCATATCTTTCCTGCCTCGGATAAATTCTTCACTTTGCTCCAACCAAAGAGAAGGATTGAATATGTTCTAAGATCTGGGTTAAACTGATCCTTCATCTTCTCAAACAAAATTTGTGCCTCCTTTCCAAGCTTAGCTCTAGCAAGAGAATCGATCAACTTGTTGAATGTCATGATCCCCGCTTCAAACCCATGCCTACCCATCAATTCAAACATGGCTACTGCCTTCTTCATCTCTCTAGCACGAGCAAAAGCTCTGATCGCAATCTCAAATGTCTCGATGGAGAGGCAATGCACCTTCCCCATCTCTTCAAGCATCTCCACCATGCTTTCGAACCGTCGAGTCCTCCCCAAAACTCCCATCATCGCATTGTAAGTCTCTGAATTGTGAGAGAAACCCGACTTACCAGATGCCCACCTAAAGAATCGAAATGAGGGTTTCCAAGCATGGCGCAACCTGTTCAATACGCTCACCACCACAGGAGTGGACACACTGATACTGCTCCGATCCAAAACTGCTTCCATGTTTCCATCTGAACCTAATAGATCCTCGATTACTTTGCAAATTCTCTCCACTTCATTTGAATCAATGCCATTAAATGATTCGACCCTATCATTTCCATCACCTTTTTCTTCATCATTATCTTCCTCTTCTTCTTCACTGGTTGTCTCCATATCAGTATCCGAAAGAGCCCTAGAAGAGTGAATCCAGTTGGTTTTGAGTTTCATGATCAGTGGCCACCACATTGTTTTTTCAGGAAGGCTTTGGAGAGAGAGTGGAGAGGGGTGTGACAAAAAATGTGGAACTTGACCACGAGGATGATGGAGGTGACAATGAGGAGGACGATAAGGATGGTTAGGCAGGGGCACAGGGCTACCATTAAGAAGGCCCGCCCGCCATCTGCAAACTCCTCCTTTTCGTTGTCGTTGTTGCTGTGGGCCATCTCCAGAGAGTGTGATGTCCGGCGTGGGTCCCTGGCAGCCATTGGCAGTGCAGATCTTTAAGAGAGTAAGATGAGAACTCAGCAGTTCCTTTCTTCGTCCAACTGTAGACATCAATCATCAGCCATGTATATTAGAGAGAAAAACGAGTGAAATCGGTGTGGGGATAGACTAACAACATGGAATGGAAAGAGAAAGAACTCAGTGAACTAGTGTTTAATGAGGTTGGGAGGTGGAGGGAGATACTGGGGTATGGAAATCGATGAATGTAATAGAAATTGCAATACAAGGAGATAGATTAACTCAGTAAACAAAAAAGGGATTGAGAAAGATTGCTTGGCGTGTCTCGGATGACCCAGAAGTTAGGTTTGCTGCAGTAAAGAGCAAGAGAGTAGATGGACAAAGATATATTTCCTAAGAACCACGATTACTGAAAATAGGGACAGGGAACCTAATTTACTAGAGAATATTAGGCATTGTGATTCTTAGGAAATATATTTTGGTTTGTCTCCTCTCATGCTACTTACATGCGCAAATCTATTTCCGAGTCATCGGACATGCCACCAAGCAGTGTCCCTTGATTCATTTTTCTTTACTGAGTTAATCCATCGCCTGAATCACAATTCGAGTACACTCATCAATTTCTATACCCCGATATATCTCTATGTCTCCCTCCCTCCCTCTCCGCCCCACTCCTTTTACAAAACCCAGTAAAGACACTAGTTGAGTAATGTCTCTTTCCATTTCCCAGTTGTTAATATTATATAGTTTAGATCTGGGGATAATATTAGAATAGTACATTGGAACATCTGCATAGATCTTGGAGGTGGTCCAGAATCTTGAAACACCAAACAGTACTTGGGCCTGGAAAATTACATATTCTTGCTGACAAGAGTCACGAGAGATCAAAAAATTTAAAAGAATGACTCCCTCACATAGTAAGACTTATCCAAGCAAAACAGACATTCACCTGATTGATTTTATTGAATATTGATGCTTCATGTGTTTCTGTATGTTTACACACAACAATCCTCGGGATTGGATTACTTCGACTCTATTTTGAAAGAAGAAAAACTCAAGTTTTACATGTTCCAGGTATGCATGTATAATGTTTTATGTAAGCAAAGGAAACCAGCGCATTTCCCTTTTTACATTGGTAGTGAGTCAATCCTACGTATGAATTGCATAAATTCCACATCATCCAACTGAGTATAACTTGATAAAGTATGACACCCAAAAAACACATAGCTAGACCTCTTTGTCCAAGTCCATATACTAATAATGAGAAAACATGACCCCCATACCATAACATTATAAATTTTCTGATAAATTTTTCATAATAGAAGAAAAATGAAAGTCAAAAGAATATGATCTTTAGAACAGCTGTACAGCACTCCATATCAGTGCACTAACAGGTATATAACCATGCAAGAAACCCCATTCAAAACTACAAACCCTTTGTGATCTAACTTTTTAAACCAACAAGTTCTCCCCATATAATAATAATAGCCATGTCAATATATCATAGTCTAGGGCCCAGAAGCATACATCATGGCTAATCTAATGACTGAAGAAACAGTAATCGAATGCACTAACATTCTATTAATGATGCAGCAATAAGAATCAAGCAATTCAACCAAAACTAACAATAAAGAGTTGCAGAGGCAGCATAATAAACCATTAAAAATTTCTCACTCAAAATTGAAGCAATTCCACAAAAGACTTTCAAATAAGAACTTGTGGAGACAGCATTTGAACCAGTGGTTGCCTTAAATGCCTAAAACTATACTAGTTCTCTTACAGCACTTATTACTCATATACCCTGAACCCTCATCCATCGCTTTCGAAATATTTTTTTTTTTCAGAAACAACCGTTAACAACTCACTACAAACTTTAAATTCCAAACAAAAACAAACAAGAAATTTAATATCTACTAAATCAAAATTTGAATTAAAAGGCCAACAAAAGAATGAGGAATCTTGCCCATGGCAGAGCACAAGAAGCAAGAGATTCTACAAAATTATGAACCATGAATCAAAAATAAAAATAAAAAATAAATCAATCTTTTCCAAGGAAATCTATAAACATGAATTCATGGTAGGGAGACCAGAGCCAGACCTTAACTACTGAAATTCTAAGTAAAAAAAGAAAAAAATGAACTAATTAAACGAAAACAAATGCCCTAGTTAAAAAAAGCACCAGATCCAGCTGCTAACTAAACAAATTATGCAGTAATAAAAACAACTAATATGCATTTTGTACATACAGAACTTGTAAAAAATTCATATCCAAAAAATGCATTAATTAAAGATAAAAGGAAAAAGAAAAAATGCATCATTGCCACAAAAACAAGTATCAAGAGATCTAGGAGAACCTCACCTTGAGATCGAGCTACCAGGTTGCTTCCTTAACCAGATGAAGATGAGTTAGAGAGGGTTCAGGAGTTGACGAGTTTGACGGAACAGTAATGGCGGAGTTGCGAGTGAGAGAATCAGAGACAGAGAGAGGTCCAAAAGAGCTTTCGCGCATACGGGGTCAAATTTGGGAAATAAAATTTCCCTCCACAAGGCTCCTTCTTCACTTAGCCGAAACGGACGGCGGCAACGGTTCAGGTCTGGTCCTGCCAAACCTGACCCTGACCTGAAAACGTATTATGGGACCCAGACACAGACCCGAAAGTTACTATGTCACCGGAACCCAGTCCCGGAGAGAGGGAGAGGCGCCCGTTACAAGTGCTTGGGCAAGTGGTCTTTGGGGAGGGGAAATGAGTATTAATTTTTTTTTTTTTATTGGGTGAATAGAAGCTTTGGATTCCTTTAAATAATTGTGTCTAGTTTATGTGAGACAGACTATAAGTTTTTTTTTTTTTGGTTTAAACAATTAACTCCACCTTTAAGGAGAGAGAGGGAAGGAAAGGACAGAGAAAAAGTTGCAGCCGAAAAGGGTGCGTGGTGAAATATTTATTGCTTTTGAATATTAAGAGAAAATTATTTTGGGTGAAACTTCAAATAATATTATTAAAATATTATTTAAATCTTTATATTATTCAGGTCGGATCTTGATCCTAATCTAAACCCAAATAGTATTTAGGTCCAAATTTTTGACATAAACTTGACCTATCTAAAATTTGAACCCATACCCGAACCTGAGGTCGTATCTACCTGTCAGGTCCCTGGTCTGGTCAGGTCCAACCACCCCTATTCGAGATAAAGGCAGGGTTTGAGACAAGGCACAACGGGGTGGGTGAGCCCCACACCTTAGCCCAACCCTGACTTCCTCGAGGGTATAATTATAAGTCTGCATTTAAAATATTATTTTTCAAACAATCTTTAATTTTTTAAATCCATCAAAAACTCTAAGTTTTTCAAAAGATCTTCAAAATATCAAGTTTTTTTAATGAAACCAATATAAATATATATTTTATCTTTTCTCAAAAAATATTTAAAAAAAACTTAATGATTATTATTCAATAACTTTAATGTGTCTCTATAATAATTGCAAGTCATAATCATATAATGAGTCATCTTTACACATCTAATTTTTTCACTCCTTTTTTAGCCAAAATCCAAAATATTCACGATTCTATATCTCACCTTTTTTTTTTTTTCGATCCATAGTTTGACCCAATTTTTTCCTCTTGACTTTTAAAATGAAACCAATTTATTACTAACATTTTTCTTTATGATTTCCATCTCCTCCTTTTTCTCTAATTCTCAACCATTTCCGTCCATTATTTTAGAAAAAAACTTTAACTATGCGAACGAAAGCCACTCTAATCGTTGAAAAACTTCGCACTCACTCTCAAAGCCTAAAATCATGTCGTCGAAGAATATTTTTTTGAACGATTTTCTAAAACCAATTATGAAACTTAGCTAACAAAATATATAAATCTATACATCCACGAACACTTTGGAGAAATGACAATCTAGATAATATGTTACAATATACCTCTACTTTAGAGCTTGAAATACCAATTTCTTTCACAACCACAATGATCAAGGTCAACTTGAAGATTTTCCGACACCGAAAAATGTGAGTTTTGTGGTGAGGCTTTCCATAAAGCTTTGGCCATATTTGAACCTTTTCCTTCTTTATATCAAAGACGCACAACAATTAATGGAGAAAACAAGGTGGAGAAATTCGGCTTTAAGAACTCTCCGAAATCAAAATACACTAAAGAAAAAAACAAAAGGCATATCAGGCCTTAGGAGCCCTCTGAAATCAATATCCTGATAAAAAACACTAAAACAAAATATGTAAGAAAAAAAGGATGAAAGCCAAAGCAAGCGATTAAGCTTGAGGAGCTTTCTGAAATTGTAATGCAGGTAAATATTGCCACAAGATTAAGAGATAATCAGTCTAATATGAAGCTCCGAATAAGGCCCGAAAGCTTCCAGCCCGCCCCGGCCAGAAAACCGCCCAAATTAGCAAAAGCCCACCCAAACACCCCAAAAACCAGCAGAAACCAGTAGCAACACCCCAAAACAGCAGCGAGGGAGTAGAAGAAGAATGGTAGAGAGAAGCTCCTTATAACAAATCTCTTAAAACCCTTGGAAAGAGAGTAAAGTGGGAACCTAGTGAAACCAGATAGAGTAAATCTAGTAAGACAAACCAAAGAAAAACTAGAGAGCGAAACGAGGGAAAGATAACTAACCCTAAAACCAAACCCTCTTCTAAGAGAGAGAGAGAGAAAGATTGGGACGGCAGAGAGAGAGAGAGAAAGGGAGAGGGAGATTGGTATAGCAAATATAAGGGAAGAGAGTGGGGAACATTAGATTTAAGAAGCCTGTGTTCGGGCTTTCGGCCCGCCCTGGCCCAAAATCAAACTGGCCTGTAATTGCTGGCCTAGAAGCATGAAAACGACCCGGCCTAGACCGTTGGCACCCCTTGCTCCAATGCTATGTATCTTATGTAAAAAGAAACAAACAAATACAGAGGAAATCAGAGAAAATTGGAGTAAGATGTCATATTCTCAGCTTCTCATCCATCGGTTTCACCAAACTTTTCGAGAGAGGAAATTAAGGTTTGGGTCCAAGTCACCCAGAGCGGAATTCGGGTTCTATTCTTCTTCGTCGTTGCTGGCTTTCATTGGGGTCTCCTTTTTGTTTCTTCGACTTCTCTGATTTCTTCTGTTACTTTCATTTCTTGGTCATGGAGGGTAACTGAGAGATAGAGCCCTTCTTGGCCATGGAGGATGAGAGAGAGAGAGAGAGAGAGAGAGAGAGAGAGAGAGAGAAAGACCAGTTCTCAGACAACTCTGTACACGCATTCTTTCACAAGTTAAGGAAAGCTCTCCGTTTCTCCACAATTTAGGGAAAGCTCCTGTTGATGATAGTAAAAATACAATAATCTTACAAGTGAAAATGAAAACTAGTCATCTCTCTCATTTAAGACTCAACGAAACCCCCATCTCCTAACCAAGAAACTTCTGCAAACCCAAAATCGAAAAGGCCAGCGCTATTTCCATTGCCATGTAGGGCTCCTCCTCCTTTCCTATTTATTCTCTCACTAGGATTTCGTGAGAAAACAACCAAAACCATGCATGATAAAATGTTGGGTTTCTACACCATCATTGAAACAAAATTCTCTCTCTACAGCCACCCTTTTGAGCGTCAACAGCAGCATCATCTTCAGCTTTCTCTCACTATTTTTTTTTTTTTAATATAGCTTTCTCTCACTACTTTCTTATTCGAATCCCAGGAATGTCTCTTAAACCCATTTTAAGGGCTGTTTTCCTGAACATTGAAGGTGGATTCTGCAAACCTATAGATAGAGAGAAGCGATGTGCAAGCACAACGAGCTCTGTTTTGTTGCGACCAATCTGTCGAATCGAATTGTAATAACCAAGCCAGGCATGATAAGCAGCTTCTTTCAAGCTCGAGTCGATCCTCGCCAGAGAATTTTCCACCTATTTATACAGCTAAAAATTTCATAAAAACAAAAAGAGAGAAAGAAAAACAACATGGAAATTTTCATCATTCCATCAGACAAGGATAATTTTGAAACTCTTCAAAATTGGGAATCTTTGTTGTCATGGGTACTTTCAGAATTTCTGAAGATTAAATTCACATGGTTATACCATAGATAGCAGTTCTGTCCTTTTTGATTACCTGCCTTTATATGTAAAATCTGCCATACTTATAAATAGTGTTTTAAAACCCAGATTGGCCAGGTGAACCGCCCCCATCCAGAAATCCAGTCCAGAATGCCGAATTGCCAAGGATCAGTGAATCGAACCAATTCTCCAGTCAAAAATTTGTAAGAATTTAAAAATATAAAAATAAAAAAAAAATGAATTGTATGGGAACTAGGAATCAAGCTGGTCTGGATCACCTGGTTTCCTAACATAATCACTCAGGTGCACGATGAAACAGGTCGATTCCAAGGGAACCAGACCGATTGCCAGTTATGACAAGGAACTCAGTCTATCTATACTAGTTTCCGATTTGAACCAGCAATCCCAATCCAGATCGCCAGTTTTTTAAACATTACTACAATGCTATATGGTATTGGTACACCAAGGACATCCACCATCTGATCCCCATAATGGACAGTGAAGATTTATAGTGACCAGTTATGGTACACTAAGGACATCCACCATTCGGTCCCAATAATCAGCAAAGATTTGTAGTAATAGGTGAGTGTTCTTGTGGACCCCAGTGTTTTGAAATGCAACCGCATCGCTGCATATGCTGCCCAGCGCATCGAACTTGCCCACATGCGTTTTGAAAAGATGCGCCGCATCTCTCTGCATCAGAGCCGCATCCCACATCTTACAGCATCAGGACACATAATCAATCACGGGTAATAAGGTCATTTTGACCTTTGAAAATGGAAGGAAGGGGTTTGGGGGGGTATTAAACTACCCCAAACAACAATTTTCAGCCAAATCCATGGCTTTTATTAGATTGATTGAATCCAAAAAAAAATTTTGGGCGGAAATTTTATTTGTTGAAGACTCTCAAGATGACTTCTCTAATTAGTATGAAATTTAGAAACTCACTCTCAAGACTTAAGAAATGATGATGATCGTATTGTCTCTTTTTGAGCTTGACTTTAAAACTCCTTAATCTTCATGGACTTTTAGTTTGTAGTATTTTGCAACTTTAAAGTTTGTAGTTGCAAATTTGCGTTTATGATTGTTGATTGTTGAATGTTTTATGAAGCTAGTTTCAAATTTCTAGTTTTTATCAAGGAATAGTGGATACAGAATCACCGATAGTTAATACTTTTGGAGTTCAGGAATAAACTAAATACCTACTATCACATATATCACATCCATATTTTTTTCAATGCATTAACCTATTCTTTTAGAATGTTTTTATATTTATTGACCGCATCGCCGCGATGTACCCACATTGGGACCGCATGGAGCAGCATCGGCCCCCCCAATGCTTTCAGACACATCCCGCATTTTAAAACACTGGTGGAACCCCTACAATTAATCTCCTGCATCTGTGAGCAGAAGCGATGGTGGATATGATAGCACGAAGGGATGGTGGATATGACGGGAAATGAAGGTGAAAATCTCTCTAGTGTACCATATAACATATATTACCGATTCTCTGATTTTTTTTTTTGGTGGGGGAGGGACATGTTAACAGGATAGGAATGGAACCTTTGACATCACACTGTTACTCTGCCCCTCTGATCACCCAAGCCAAGGGCCCATTCTTATCAGTGTATTAAGTGAGATTTAAAATTCGGTATTGGGTCCTCCTAAATCACAAGAGATCAGGCCAAAGATTCACATGGTCCAACTTTCCCAAGGCAAATCAGGTAACAAAGTTACCAAATAAAATAAAAAGCAAGAGACTAGGGACAATTCTAGGGTGCCTCGAATCGGAATCGCCAACCTCCCAATCCCAATCCCATTCAGGCGATTCTAAGTCAGAACAGAGATTGTATAAATCACCAGTGTACCACAAAATATTGTATTATATAATGAAGATCGAGGGTTGGATGGACAGTCCATACACCCAGAAAAGCACAGCCTTCAAATATAGGTCATCAATCCAGGTCAAAAGAAAGTAGACCATGATCTATATGATCTTAAAAAATTTCCGGTCAAAAGTGTCATGATTGTCCAATCAATAGATGAATGGTGCTTGAGAGTCAGACCCACCAGAATATAATATGGTAGGTCCCACTCTCTCAGCATCCCTATCCACCAATTTAATGGACAGTGTTGACACCTATGACCATAATTCTCTATGTTCATGGATCATAGTATACTTTTCCCATAGCAAAACATGCATGCGAACAAATGTATAGAGTGACAACCTTAGCTTTTACTTCTGAATCCAATTGTGGTGAGGTAGACCTATGAATGGGAAGATCTCTAATCTCATCTAAAAAGTAATCTTCCCAAGGGGCAAGCAACAACACACCCTTCCCTTCTTTGCCTTGGCGCCCTGTCCTCCCAAGTCGATGTATATACTGCTCCCGATCAGAAGGAATTCCCACCTATAAATGTACATTTCGTTTCCCAATAAAATCACATAAAATATTCATATTTCATGCACATGAATAAATACATGCATGCATTGATACATCAATGATGCCATAGACTTCAAAAAGGCCGTCATATCTGTGTGCCTACGTAAAACAACCAGAAACTTGATGTTCTAGCCATGTCCAGTCATATTTATTCATCACAGACACACGTGTGCACATGCATGTGTGCATCCAAACATACATATATCTGGTAATATACATAGAAACAGTCATATATCTAGTTATTGTGATTTTCTTCCCCCATCCTACCAACTCAATCCTCGGACATGATGGAAAGCATGAAGATTATGCTACCACGACATCAACAAGGATCGGTGGTATTATATATCTAGTTATCTAAACTTACATATATCCAAACAGTCATATCTGTGAATCACACACACGCGTGCGAGCATCCAAACTTACACAAATCTAGTTACATACCTAGAAACACACACATGTACAATTGCATCCTTGCGTATATATGTGTTCACGTGTTTTATGCCTACTCCATTAACTTCTCAAAATGAACAAAGAGTGATTAGAATCACATAAAATCCATTTCAATAAGTTTAAAATTTGAAATGAATTACTTTTAGAGACCACCACAAAATGGTCTAAAAAAGTAAAAATAAAAGGAAACAATGGAACAAATCAAAAAAGAACAAATAAGTATAGACATATGTTGACAATAAAATCATTGAAGTTGACCACGCTTACCTGAACCACCAGGGTAACATCAGGATAATCCATTCCTCGGGCTGAAACATCGGATGTGATGAGAATTAACCGCTTTGACTCCCTGAATTCATCAGACATGCGAGTCCGATAAATTTGAGGCTTTCTTGAATGCAATTCCCTCACATTCATTTTCAACTCCCGAAGAATCGAATACAAAAGCGATGTGACCATCCCAGTCGTGCAGAAAACAATGACCTGGAAAAATGTATGAAATTGCGTATGTCAAAACCATACCATTTCCAAAATAAAGTTATTAAACACGGTTCACATTCATTCATGCATGTACACGTCTGTGCATGCAAGCATCCATGCGTCTCAGTATGCTCACCTTATAGTCTGGCTCTTGCATAATATGCTCCTTGAGAATTAGATAGGTGATGTGGAAATGTGAGTCATGAGAGGCAATAAGATAGGATTGTAATACCTGCAATAGACAAGAGAAGCCATGTATAATTTAATAATCCTGCACCCCTCAAGCAGAGTCAAAAATCAACAATCTTTTGGTTTTGTCTCTGTTTAGCCATGAGCATTTGAGTAAACCGAAGACTAGTACCACTCCAAATCATAGTTGTAAGGCATCGATAAAGGTACTGGTGTTGGTATGGTTCTTCCCCCTTTCTTTTAGCAGCTGCAATCGTCTTATAAGTTTTTGGTATGGTTTCCTAGATACAGTTTCTGAAAAGGTATAGTACAAGTTCTTATGCAGTGGTAAATATTTTTTAGAATGATATCAGAAATGATCATCATTATCATCATAGCCTTTTCCCAATTATTGGGATCGGCTACACAAATCCTGATCTGTCATTATACTTTAATAAAAAGCGATATCCTCAATGAGGCCATAAGTCCCCATATCTTTCCAAACTACTTCCAACCACGTCCTTTGGGCCTACCCCTTGCTCTTTTAAGTCTTTCCACTTGAACTAACTTGCACCTACTAACAGGTGTTGTACTTAGTAGGCGCCACACATAGCCAGCCCACCTAAATCTACTCTCTCTCATCTTATCACCTATTGGTGCAACACCTAAATTCTCTCGAATGGTTCATTTTGAATTATATCCCTTTTTGTCTTGCCACTCATCCATCTCAACATCCTCATCTCCATTACACTCATTCTATAGGTATAGTGTTTTTTGTCCGCCTAACATTCAGCCCCATAGAGCAAAATTAGTCGCATAGTTGTCCTATAGAACTTGCCCTTCAGCTTCATTGGTATGGGGCGATCACATAAAAATCTAGTTGCACATCTCCACTTCGCCCACCCAGCTTTAATTTTGTGTGCAACATTTTCCTCAATCTCTCTATTTCCCTAGATTATCGACCTAAAATATCGAAAGTGCGGTATTTTTTGTACTTCCTGACCATCAAGCTTAACTACTTCGTCATCTCTACTCCTATTATTACTAAACTTGCATTCCATATACTTCGTGATTAATTGTTGCCTATTTCTCAGTATATTGGCCAGACTTTTCTCGCAATTTAACTACCAAATAATTGTAAAGTCAAATTTCATCATAAGCTCTTTTCTAAGTTCATACAGAAGTAGAAACAAGGGTTCCTTGCTTACAAGTTCATAAAACAGTATGCGACAATAGAAGCCAAATTTCATCATACTGAGATAGTGTAACTGTATAAGTCGGCCCACTTAGTATATTCGAATCACATTTCTCATTTCATTGGACCATGGTTATGTAATATAGATAGGGTAGACTTCTAGTATCTTTGGGGCTTACTTTTATGAGTTACTCCTAGCCATAAGGAGCTCTATGGCTCAACCAATTGCCATGAGTTCAATTCAAACTATAGTTGTTGGAAGTAGGAGCAGATAGGGGAACGAGGGATCGTAACATGCTAGAAGCTCCCTAGGTCAGGAGCGTATTCTGTACAATTATTCAATTAAGCTGCTTTATTTACAATTTACAACCTCTAAACAATTAGAGAATAAGATCCAAATAAATCATCTTCTTGGCCTCTTGCTGCCCATTTGAGCAGCTAGGAGCAATCCCTAAAAAGTGGGGATAGAGATCCCAAAATTTAATAATCACAATCACACGGAGATCCCCATTTTGGAGCGCCAGAGCGGGATCGACACCTAAGTGGGACTCTCTCTCTCTCTTACAGAAACACACACACACACCCCTTAAACCTGGACCACATGTCATGGGAATGATAAAGCTAATTACAAAGCATGCATTGAAGATTTATATCCATGATGAAGAAAAGAGAGTTTTTGATGTTCAAGGGTAAATGAGAGTGTTAAGCCTATTATAAACCTGAACAAACTAAGACTTTAACATATTATGGAGCCAATAGGGCCTAAATCTATGAATCGAAAAAATATATATAATTTTTTTGACAAAATTTTTGGGGGAAAAAAGAACCAAATTCCCATACCTTGGCATGTGTATCCTGACCCCCCAGCCCAACTGTATCAATGTAAACATGATCTTTTTTCAATACAAGCTGAGATATTCTGCGCACCTACCAAGTCAGAGTCCAGATATATGTCATATGCATGTCAAATAGTTCCATCCCAGTAATAATAGCTATTCATGACTAGAGCATGAATTACACAGAAAGAAAAGTAACAGTTATTGAATGGGCTTTTGATTATCTGTTCTTTTTCTGGTAACTGATAAGGAAAAGAAAGAGAAAAAAGAAAATATGGTAACATATACAAGTTAAATATACCTCTTTAAGAGAGTGAGAGAGAAAAAGTCCCTAAAATACAAAATGGTATACCTCTTTAGGGATTGTAGCAGAGAACAACAGTGATTGCCTCTGACGAGGTAAACAATCGACAATTCTTTCCATATCTTTGCGAAACCCCAAATCCAATAACAAATCGGCTTCGTCAACGATAAGAACTTTCAAACCCATCAATCGGACAGAAAATCCCGACTTATTCTCAATATGATCCAATAATCTACCTGGGGTTGCCACTATAATCTGAAAAAGAAGCAGCAATAACATATTAAGCACACACAAACAAACAAAGAGAACTCAGTTGGACTTACAGAAAACATGAAATACAAGCCCTTGAACTTAAAATACCATTTTATAGAACTTCTAATGCAGTATATCATGTAATTCACAATAAAACATGAGATTTTATTAAGAACATGAAGTAGATGTATAAAAATCCTTAGATACAGGTAGTAGGTTTTAAGTTCCATTACTACACTGAACAACCTTTGAAGAACCAATAAAACGTTCAAACCTAAGCAGAAGCCTGATGAGGAAGAATTACACCTAGAAAGTGAGGCATAGATGAATGTGCCAGCTTCAATTGAGTAATGATCATAGACGGCTATATTTAAATAGCTGGAAGAAGATAAAAGGGGAAAAAGATGCATGTGTTCCTCACAAACACCTCAAGCCCACACCTTATGAACACTAAAGCTTCCACAATTCATCCATTTCATTATGGATAGATAATTTTCCTTAGGAACTTTTTATTTTTGTTCTTGGATCTACTGATTTCTTATGCAGTTTATATCCAAGATAACAAATTCTTTAAGGCCAGGCACATGTGATAGAGGACAGACTGCTGGGTGCAGGGTGAATGAAGAAGGAATGAGTTCTGGGAATTTCTTCTGCTACAAGTATGTCTGAATAGCCATAATCCTTTCTGTAATGAATGAAGACAGATTAAGATTGATACATAATACTACCAGTTTTTTAGGAGATCACCAAAAACCTAGTTATATCATATTTACGACAACAAAAACAGAAAGAATTTTCATCTTCAGAGTTAGGCAAACAACAAATTACAAAGTAACAATCCTCCAACCAAATAATAGGATTCAAAAACTCTAAAGAGCTACGTGTTTTGTGTCTAGAAGACTGGCCTGGCAAGGACCACCATCAAGGAGTTTCTGATCCTCTTTGAATCTTGTTCCTCCGACAAGTGTTTGGGTGCCAAGGCCATCATGGTACTTAAGCAACACATTTGCCTCTGCAGCAATCTGGCTGGCTAGCTCTCGGGTGGGACAAAGAACAAGGGCAAGAAAAGGTATGAACCGTTGATTTGTGTTGCTTGTACAAGCCTTCAAAACTGCTTCAATTGCAGGAATCTATTGCCACAAATGTAATACAATTAAACAAAGACAAAATGCTTCAAAATTTAAAAAATCCAAAAGATCCAGACCCAAAAGAGCATAGCAATCAGCATGATCACAATCTCAGGAATTTATTTCCACAACTATAGCAATTGAGAGAAAGCAATACTATAAAATTTTAGAAACCCCAAAAGAAAGAGCAAAAGAGGGAAAAGCAACGACGATACCATAAAAGCCGCAGTCTTTCCGGTTCCAGTTTTCGCCTTGACTAGAGCATCCTTACCTGCTCCGGTGTGGATAGATTATCATCATCCAAAGATATCCAAAGAAATCTTTGACATGTACTACCATATTCTAACGAAATCCAGGAAATATATTTTAACAAAAAAAAAAAAAAAAGGTAACGTAATCCAAATAAAAAAGAAAGAATAAACATTGTGAATAATTATGTATGTGCCCACTTATCGATCCCCAAAAAAATGCACATGCCCACCTACACATGAGGCAATACACAATAATATCCTTAACTGAATAAAATCTAGAATTTAGAAGAATGCATGATTTGAGGCAGTAAACAAAATCATCAATTTCAAGGAATTGCCTTGCAAATATAAAAGCTTTGCCAATGGAGTATCAAATTATATATTTCTTTCCTTTTTTAAGGAAAGGGAATCTTAACAAAAAAAATCAGTACGTAATCAAAGCTACCAAATTTTGCAATGGTGTTCCATAGATAAAAGTTCAAAAATAAAACTATCATTTAGTTATTGATCAAAATTCCATTCTTCTTATCAATTATCAAACAATATCAGCAATGTTTCATAGCCCATAATCAAATGTTGGATTGCCCCTCCAAAGTACTAAACCAGATCAATGATTCTGATCCGGAACAGTTGATTCTCGGGGTCAACAAGAACATTAAAATATTGAAAATAATATCAAATATAAAAATTTAAGGAAATCACCCATATACCCGTTCCAAGTCGACGATTCCTGATTCGAATCGCAATGTTTTGTGACAGAACCGGGCAGTTCTATTCAAATTGCGCCAACGACTTCTAATTCTGTAGGGGAATAGACCCAAGGACCTGGCAATTTTGATTCGGATCGGAAATTTTTTAAATCATGTTGTAAACAAATAAATTTATGCATTTCAGTGGTTGTATGCCTAGATTTCACCTTGAATAGCATAACTTGATGGATAGTAAGATAAGTGCGAACTTAATCATGTGACCCTTTAGATAGATGGGTATAAATATAAATGTATATGAGGAATACTTGCATACACCCGAACTTCTACACCCACAGTTCGCCACCCCTTAGAAATCTTCTTAGGGAGAAGCATGACCTTATGGGATTTGAGGAGTGAACATATTATACACATATAGAGAGAAAGAGAGAGGGGGGGGTGTCATTATACAGGGAGATAGTGTAGTCATTTCTATAGGAAGAGAATTGGAGTCTCTTCTAAGAAAATATAGTTATGGGTGCCAAACCACCAAAGAGAAGCTAATATTTGGCAAAATTAGGAGTAAATTCAAGTATCAACAATCCAAACCTTCAAGACAAGTAGAAATGGCAGCCTCCTGCACCACTGTCATTTGCAGATAACCGGCAGACGAAAGTGCTTTGATTGTTAATGGTGAAATATTGCACTCATCAAACCTGTGGAGAGGCGAAAGGTAGAAAGGAAAGGTGAGGCCATCTATTCCATAGAGAGATGAAATGAAGTTCATAACGCCTGTCGATTAATAAAAATAAGCATACTGACATGTCTGTATATGAGCATGCATGCATGCATGGTATGATAAGTGTGTATGCACTAAGTGATTATGCATGAATTACTAATTTACTATTACCATCACTTTGACTGAAGCACTTGATGCATTTTAAAGGAAACCAAATGTCAGCATTACCCTAAGTCCACTTCTGGCGTATTAGCAAGACCACAAAGAAACTCACACCATCAAGGCTGGCAAAAATGTGATTATCATAAAAGAATGCCTTTTTCCATTGGCCTTAAAATAAGTACAAAATGATACCCATCACGCGTATAGCTGCAAAAAACAATGAACTGGAAAATAAAATTGTAAATGCAACTGAATTTGGCCCATGTGAACATCCAAATGTTTAATACTAATATACAAATAAATAGATTTTGCAATGAGAGCTAGGAATGAGATGTCATGAAATAATGAATAGATAAACATTGAGAGATCTAGGGGACCAAATCTCGAGTATAGAGATTCATTTAAAAAAAAAACAAAAAGACAGAAGGCCTTCAACAATAGATGACCAAGTCCTTGATAAGAATACAATGAGAACAAAATTTATTTCATATGCGTGCCTATACATGGAGGAATGCAAATTCCAAACAATCAAATTCCAAGACCAATACGATAATGAAATACACGAAACAAAAAGTAAAACAATATGTGTGACCCATGAGTTATGAGAGAGCACTTATAAAAAAAAATTATGCAAGTGGCAACATTTGATAGTGCACCTCTTTTGACTAAGAAGTGACTCTTCTTTCTCAAGATAACGTCTCTCTAAGCTTGTGAAAGTATCTCGCTCTCTTATCGCATATATCTCTTGACGAAGATCCATAACACGCCTCTCTTGACTCAGCCCTTCCTCTCCTTCCTCTAGTGTAGGAGGCCTCCTTGGAGGTTTAGTATCATAATTTCTCAAAGCTGCTCCACTAAAAACATTCTTTGCATCTCTTTTTCCCCTAGCACCCCTCATTTCTGATTCTTCTCTCTCCTTGTCGTCAGTGTCAATCCTTGAAAATCTTGAGTTTCTCCCACCCCTAAAACCCATTGACTTCTCATCTCCAGATCGGACCTTACGATCTTCAAAGGCAAAACTTTTGTTGTCTTCACTCGACGAAGTTTTATGAGCACCAAATCTAAATCTAGAGTAACTTCTACTTGCTACAGAATAATTCCGACAAAATGGGACATTACCATAGTTTTGAATCAAACCATTAGTAAACACAATATTAGTCATATCCCAAAAATAAATTTTTGAATCAGCACTATAATGCGATAAGAATTTATTACTCTTGCTCAAATTCTTCCTGAACACATTGTCACCAGTGGTATCCACCAATTTACTCACACCCCCCAAAAGTTTTCTTGAATCCACACTACAATTCGATAAGAATTTGTTGCTATTGCACATATGTACAGTTGAATAGCTCCTACAAAATGCAATACTCCCATATTTCCTAATAAAATTCTTGGGCATTCCGTTGAAACTGATGTTGTTGGCTAAATTATGTGAACCCGATGATAACTTCCTTGAATCAATAGGCTCTCGGTTGATTAATCTTGGGTTTTTGGATCTTAAAGGAGGATCTCCAATTGGCCCATCATCTTCATTCCATAAATCCTCAGCCCCTTTTACCATGAAACGATCAGCTAAAGCTTTTATATGGTCTTTAGCACTCATGGGTCCATAATTATGGGAATTTTGAACATTTTTAGAAGAGGAATCAGTAATGGCATTACCAGAGAGCTGGTTCCTGATGGTGTTCCGTATCCGAGCTTCGTATAGTTGTTTCTCTTGTTGCAAAAGCTTTTTCTCTTTCTCTCTCGCCATCTTTTCATGGAGTCTTTTGTATTGCCATTTGTTTAGGCCTCCTGGAAATGTTCGAGGACCACCACCCATGAAGTTAATGAATAGAAGGGATTCCTGAAAAAATGGGTTTTCGGTTTATGGGGTGTTTGCGAACGGTAGAGATGAGGACATTAGGGGAGAGAGAGAGGTGGGAAGCGGAGCTGGAAGGAGTTACAGAGGAGAGAGAGGAGTGGTAGAGAGAGAAAGCTAGGGTGAGCAGGAGGATTTTACATTTAGGAACAGAATCGATGATTTGGAAGAGGAATTGGAAACCGATGCAGATAGAGGAGGGAGGCGGGAGAAGGGGTTAACAAGGGTTTTGAGAAGGGTTCTATAAGGTTGCAACCTTAAAGCAACCAATTAAGGCGCATCTCCAAAATTTATCATAATATGTAATTTTGATGTAAAAAATTATTAACATTATTTGAAGGGTGTGGTTTCTATAGGGTTGCAACTTCAAACAATCCAATTAAGCATAACATGTAATTTAGGTATAAAACTTTGTGATGCTTATCTTAAATGAAAGCCTTCTCTGTTCTCCCTGCATAGGAGTTCTGTCCTCCCCTTACCCTTCATTTTTTAGTGGAGGGTTAAGAAATGCGATCCCCGCCACATGAAACAATTTTCTTTAAATTTGATGCTCACAAAATATAGAGATCTTGCATATAGGTGGACACTTATTTTTAGGGCAAAATATTCAGGTTTGAAATCTTGATTTTTTTTCACAACCATAACAGTCAATGCTCAGATGATTAATTTCAAAGGCTTTCGACTCGAGAACTACAGTTTTTTAAAAGAACTGAAGATTTCTAAAAGTTAGTGAGGTGAGGCTTTACTTATTTTGATAGAATTGAAACCCTATCAAAATATATTTCCTATTGTTATCCCTATTATAATCTCAAAGAGAGAATATTAGCGGCACCGCAACACCAAACGATGTATTTGCTCCATTAGGTAAAAATTTAAACTTCAAATATTTTATGTACCCTAAAGTTTTGGGGATGTTTCCTATAATCTAACAACTAAGCTCAATGGAAAAAAAAATCAAATCTTGAGATTGAATAGGAGGGTAAGATTGAGGCGTTCACTAACTCAAAATCTTATTTGTTTTCCAAAATAAGTATCTGGTGATATTAAGACAATCGCAACGTTTTATATTAAAAAAAAGGTTATGTTATTATACTCATATTATGAAGTAATTTATCATTGTACTCGACAAATTTTAGACACTTTTACACTGTTGTTTTATATATAGAGTATTTTTTTAATAAAGGTATTTTTGGTCATTACGTTACAAAAATGCCCTTACTAAAAAAAACTTAATTTACAAAACAAAGATATACAAGTGTCTAAATTTTGTTGACTATTGTGTAAGAACCCTAGCATAATAAGGCTGCCAAATTGCCTGCCTCACACTAGGTGAGGCTTCGCTAGGACCCTACTCGACAGATAAGGATAATCATGTGTCTAGAATCTTAGATCAATTACAAATGGGCCTAGCCCTAGCTCAGCCTTTGGGCTATCATAAAGCTCGAGCAATTCTAGTCCAGTTGGCAACTCTACTTTGTCCTAACAATAGGGGAAAAGTTTACATAACGTTGCAACTTTAAAATGTATAATTAAGGTTTTAAGGTGCATCTCAAAAATTAATTTAAAAAAAACCTTTTTAATATTAAAGAGCCTTTTTTTATCATCTTAACATCGAAACGTATGAATATAAAAAAAACAAAAAAAACAGTTCTTGAATATCGAAAATAATGCATCTTGCAGTAAATAATCCGGATCATCTATTTTTAAGATTTTCATATATTTATAAACTTACTTGATTTGAACTATTTTTATAGTTTAAAATTCTATAATTAGAGATAAAAATAATTAAAACTATCCTAATAATGTTTTGCACTAAAAAATTTGTCTTATGATAAAATTTAGAGATGTGCTTTAAAGGTTCAACGTTATGCAAACCACACTCTAACAACAGACCTACCCAATCCTGGCCTAACCATACATCTACCCAATCTTAGCTTGGCAAACCAAAGCCCTAGCTCAACCTTAGAACCTCAATGGCCAGGCCAGGCATGAACCGCTCAGCACAGGCCAAATAAATACCAAAGTTGAGCACACTTCAGGCCAAGTCTTGGGCTTACCTGAGTTAGATGTTGCTTGACTATTTACTATGCTAGCCTAAACCATATGTGGCTACCCAACTAGTTGTGTTCAAGTGTATGCGTAATCAATGCCATGTTTGTAAAGTCTCTTTCAGTTCAGGTCTTGAATCATTTTGTAAAATTTGGGAGGGAGGAAAAAAAACTACAGGACGTGTTAGTTGCGAAGAAAACATAGTGCGTAGAGATATAGACAAGCAAAAAAACAGATGCATGTTAACGTCGCGCTAAGCTTGATGAGTTACTTTACCTTCAAGCCCTACCTACAGTTAGGGTTGCCAATAAAGCTAAACGAGGGGGTGGATATCTCAACATAATGTCCCAACATTAACACATAAAAAATGAATAAGCAAAATAAATTGAGGCTACCATAGTCGTAAAGTTTGGCTCAAGTTAGTCTAATTAGCCTTTAGGTAGCCTCAAGCTTGATCTGGTTTAAGCCTTTTGGGATCGGGTCCAAAACACAAGTTTAGTTGCACTAGAGCCTGATATGGTCCAAACAAGACCAGACATATTGATAAATCTCTCTGGGCTCGGGCCAAGCCTGGTCCAACTGGGCTTAGGCAGCCCTACTACGGCCATGAGCCCAGCTCAACAATCTTAATGCTTCATCAAAAGGGTCAAATTACTGAAATAGTCACACGTTTTCAAAATTATAGAGTTAATATTGTCAAAATAAAATTAAAAACTAAACGTTCAAAAGCGTGTTCGTGCATATCTTTTACCTATAAATCTGTGTCAGATCTTTGGAGCTAGGACTCATATTATCCCATAACTAATTTGGGCCGACAAATTCAGATTAAAATCATCGATTCGGATCGGACTACTCAACGTATATAAAATTTTAAAATTTGCGCCAAAGTGAATTGGACTCATTGGACACTAAAGACTTTTTAAGGCTTTTAACCTCTAGGGCAAATATTTTATGAGTTTCATAAGTCACAATCTTACTTGTTTTCCCAATTGTTTACAGTGTTGCAGCTTATGCAAGGCTCTCTCTCTTCTTCTGCTCTTTCCCTCTCTCTCTGTCTCTGCATATTCCAAGAATAAATGGGCAGGCCTGTGGTTTTGGTAGTAGGTGGGAGCGGCTATCTTGGCCAACATCTGTTGCAGGAAATGATAGAAATGCAAGGAAATAATCCCTTTAATGTGGGTTTCACGTATAACTCGAACCCCCAATGTTTCGATTCTATGAAACCCATGTTCCAATCCTTTCGCGTTGATTTACAAACTGGACAAGGCCTGGATTCGATCTCCACCACATTGGGTGAGGTAATCTGTAATCTAGTTAGAGAGAGAGAGAGATGGGTTATTGTGTGTTTGGTGGAGTTACAATTTCAGCTGCTTAATGGGATACAGGGATATGGGTTTTCTTAATTATTTAATTCTTAATAAAGTGAATATGGGGAGATATGAAATTTTGGTAAATGTTTTTTTTTTTTTATAAAAAATAAATATATGAGAATTTTGATTTCATTTTTGGTAGTTAAAATGCTGGCAGAGATAATTGGGTAAATTACTTATTCTTTTTCTTTTTTTTCACTAGCATTCTACTTTTGTTTACTGGCTTATAAAATGGAAATAAGAAACCATAATAATGTAAAATTTGTATCATGTCGTTTGATGGTACAATAATGTACTGTGTAGTTGGTTAGTAATAGGAGAGGTTTTGTTTCTCTCTTCCCATTCTCTGGTGAACTTACTGTTATTATACAATTGGGTTTGTGTGTTTTTAGATTTTAAGAACTACTTGTGCTGATTTATTATGACTATATTTTGCAGTCACTTTTAGCGAAGAAGAATTTCTGAAACATTCTTAGAATGACTGTTAGAACAGGATTTTCCCAATGGAGCCTTTCTGCCATGTTTCATTAGATCTATGATTTATTGCTTATTATTTGAAGTGTTGTGCTTTGACATAAGGAGGACAGATCACATCATGATCATTCGAGCCTTATCCCAACTATTTAACATAGGTTTGTCAGAGCTCTTCGCATGTGGAACTAGGAATCTCAAATACCCTGATCCCATCCATAATAGTGCACATAGTTAGCTAAATGCAAAATAGATAAATACAACCATAAGTAGAGGGTAAGAAATAAAGCAAAGAGAAAATCACACCACGTCGCATGATTTACGTGGTTCACCCCATAGGGTTACATCTATGGCTTCGGTGAATTGAAATCCATTATATTAATGAATATTACAATTTTGGGTTACAAGAGATATACCTCTCTAGATATCAGCAAACACCTCACTAATCTTCCCTTCTATATCTGCACTCACAACCGAGCAACCCTATTGATTGAACTCATCTTTTCTACCGCTACACTGCTACCGAAAATAGCATATTGAGAGCAACAGAGAGACTTAATCTCTTTATCTCTGTAGAAGTGGAAACCGTCTCTCTCTAGGAGGCCATGTCTCTCTCTTGGAGAACCATCTCCTTCTTGGAGATCCCTCCCCATGACCCCTAAAGGGGTGACCCTCAAAAGTCAAAAGGATGGTTATCATGTCTTTTTTTTTTTTGAATACGAGTTATTATATTTTTCTTGACCCTTTTTTATAGAGATCGCTAGGCTTCTTTTTTGTTCCCTAAAAAGACCTGTTTTTCTTTTTACCATAATACCTTCAATCTTTCGAAGAAAGTATAGATGTGGTGATTTGGACCATCATTAAATTTAACAATTTCTATCTTGATAGAAAAATCACCGTCTTGGCCTTTCCCACCTTCATTAAATAGATTTCTTGATTTCTTCTCTCTTACCTCCATTATGGAATTTTCACAAACACTTTGCCTCCATATTCTCCACCTCAAAGTACGTATCCAGATAGCTTCACCATTCATATATCTCTTCACCAAAAAATACAAGCCTTAATCACATATGTACCTTGTGCTCTAATACCAATTGTAGGGTCCTTGAGAGCCCTTTGCTTGCGGAACTAGGGTTCTCAAATACCGGGATTCCATTAAAGATTGTGCATATAGTTGGCTAAATATGAAATAAATGAATATGACTATAAGTGGACTGTAAGAAATAAAGCAAGAAGGAAATCACACCACAACAACACGTGATTTACTTTCTCCAAAAATGACATACGATTTAATATGGTTCACCTCATAGGGCTACATCCACAACCTTGGTGAATTGAAATCCATTATCTCAATAAAGATTACAAATTTAGGTTATAAGAGATATACCTCTCTAGATATCAACAAACAACTTATTGATCTTCGCTTCTAAATCTACTCTCCCGATCGAGTAATACCGTCAATCAACCTCATCTTTCCTATTACTATACCGTTATCGAAGAGAGCACCTCGAGAGCAATTGAGAGATTTTATCTCTGTAGAAGTGGAAATTAGACAACCTAAAATGCCATGGAAATACCACCCCTCTCTAGGATGCCATATCTCTCACTCTTGAAGACCCATCTACTTCTTGGATATCCCTTCCCATGGCCCCCAAAGGGGCGATCTTTAAAAGATGGTATTATGTCTTTCTTGATCCCTTTTAATAAAGATCATTAGGCTTCTTTCTTGCTTCCAAGAAACCTCTTTTTCTTTTTAGCATAATACCCTAGATCTTTTGAAGAAAGCATAGGTGTGGTAATTTTGACTATCACTAAACCTAACATCTGGGGTCAGCTATGTAAATCTTGTTCCACCATTCCGTTCTATCAAGAGTTATATACCCTCAGTCCGACTATAGGTCACCATATATCTCCTCACTACTTCCATCCACATCTTTTTGGGCCTTTCCCTTGCCTTTTTAGAGCTTTTCACTCAAACTAAATCTCTCCTTCTAATTGGTGCTATTATAGGTCGACACTGCACATGGCCAGACCACCTAAGTCTGTTATCCCTTATTGCATATTGGAGCCACCCTTAAGTTCCTTAAGATATATTCATTCTGAATTCTATCATTTATTGTCTTGTCGCTCATCCATCTCAACATCCTCATCTTTGTTATTCTCATTATGTGAATATGTTATTGCCGCCCAACATTCTGACCCATAAAGCATGGATAGTCTTATAGTCATCCTATAGAACTCTTTTAGTTTCATTAGTATGTGACAATCACATAAGATTCTGGAAGCACATTTCCACTTCGTCCACCTAGCTCTAATTCTTTGTGCGACACCTTCCTCAATCTCTTAATTCTCATGGATTAATGAAGGAATTCCGTAGTTCCTTGAATTATAGTGATAACTTCTCTCTAATTTATTCAAGTTATTGATCTGTATTTTGTGTGCAAATAATGGGACCTTATAAATTTTCCATGCATGTTTCAAAACAGTTATTCTGGGTCGAAAATCTTCGATCTAGATCGAAATCATTTGGAACCAGGTTGGTTCCTGACAAGCATGGGGAATTGGCCATATCCCATTCCAAACCCCTTTTTTTAAAAAAATTCCACCTTATTTCATTGTTAATCAACCCTAAAATTCATTTTTAGGTCTATTGAAGCTTTCTTCCTAGATTTTTCTGTTTTCTTTTTTTTTATGGCCTGGTTGTTGATCCAGATCGGGATAGGTGGGTGGACGATCCAATTCCACATATCCGTGTTTTGAAACACTACTTCCGTATATTTAGTTGTCTGTCCTTTGCCTCCACTGTTTGTGTCATAGCTTGATGCTCCTACAAATTTGTCATAGATGGTGGAAATCATAGTTTTTGTGGGCTCTTTCCCCTTCATTCATCACATCAATGACCCCTTCATATGTGGCTCTCTCTGTCCCTTGTGAGAGGGCTTGAATCCTTAATTGATCTTTAAAAAGACCAAAAAATGATAGAAACACATCATGGATAAGCAATTATTCCAACTGCTGCAGCAATCTACTTTGATCCCCTCCATATTGACTGTTCCTTTGCTTAAAATTTAAGTCCTCACATCAAATCAAGAAGCAACACATTCTTGCCTATAATGAATACCCAATCTCCGAATCTCCTCACTATTAGAGATAGAGACACCTAACCTATGTTGCAAGGAGTTTGGCATTTGTGTCTATATGAGACATGAACACACTATGTCCGAGTGGCTGCTCAAAGTGGTGTATCAGATATGACCATGGTCAGTGAAATGGATATGTCTACCATATTTACACATAAAATTACTTTCTGACTTTGCAATAATAAATTAACTTAAAAAATGAAACTTGCACATGGAAATCATAGACGCAAATGTCATATGTCCAATACTGCGAGTGTGTATACGGTTTTTTCGCAGTTGACAAAGGAATTTTGATCCTAGTTGTGTTATATATTGTAAACACACCGCTATATGGGCAAGGATTATGCACTTACCATTTTTATTTGAAATTTGCTTCCCTTCAGCCTGATGTGGTCATAAATTGTGCTGCAATCTCAGTACCTCGTGCTTGTGAAACCAACCCTACAGCTGCTTTGGCTATTAATGTACCTTCCCGTCTTGTGAAGTGGTTATCAAGCTTCGATAAAGCCAGCCCTCTCCTAATTCATCTATCAACTGACCAAGGTAAGTATGCAACAGCCATTTTCTCTTGTTTTTCAAAGATATCTTTGTGATATTCAAAGTTCTCTATTCATTTAATCCTCTTGCCATGTATGAGAACATACTTTTCCAAGCACTCACAATCATAAAATAAATTTAATATCTGATAATCCGTCCAGGATTTGTTGCCATTGGATTCTCTTTATAACATTATAAATGGTTTTAAACTGTTAAATACATGGAAATCAAGGTTTAGGTGTCTTAGTAGGGCAAGCATAATGAATGTAACCTCTGTTGGACTTTAGGTAGGATAAGTAGGAAGATGCATGCGTATGTTGAGGTGGTAGATTGAGTCAGGCCCTTGCCCTGCTTTTGTTTTCACCCACTGTGAACATACTGTTAGTTACTACTCTATTCCTTTATGGGGCTCAGGGGTGTCCTTGTAAGGTGCTGCGGTGGATTTTATTGCTGGCTTTGCCATGATTTCTTGTCAGTATGCATGACGCATTGATTATGCTTACTCTGTTTTTGCTTTTATTTTGGAAGTGGAATCATACTTTTCTAGATCGAAAAGGAAATATGATACCTCTGCTGATCTGTAGTGTGGGAATCTGACTACGGATTTTTGTGGTGCTCCAATAAATGTCCAGTCTATGAAGGGGTGAAATCATTCTACAAAGAAGAGGATGAAACGGTTCCAGTAAACATGTATGGAAAATTAAAGGTGAAAGCAGAGCAATTTATTTCTTCAAATTGCTCAAACTTTGCAATTTTGAGGAGTAGTATCATCTATGGGCCGGAGACAATGTCCCCTATACCCAAATCTCTTCCAATCCAGGTGTGCATATGATGAGCTTTGCAATTATTATTATTATTTTCCCTTTTTCATCTTCTTGGACTTGAGATTTAGTTATTTCAGTTGAGAATTTATTTTCTTGTAGCGACCCAATTGTTCCAACCAAACCTCTCGCTTTCCCCTTGCAAACCAATTTTTACTACAAACAAAGTAGTTTTATTTTTACTCCAAAATGGTGATTTTCAAAACTAGAAAAGTGTGGGGTTTCGAGAAGCAAATTTTCCCTAACCTTTCGGGCATCATGAAATAAATATAGTATATTGATGAAGTAAGTCAGAAACATCACTGCTCTGTGTGTGTGTGTGTTTTTCTTGTAAATGAGATGCACTAGGAGAGTAGTTTTAGACTCCATTCCTTTTCGCTGCTGTTCACCTCTCTTCTCCTTAGTCTCAATGGACTGAAACAATTTACCAAGTGGATCACACCCCATCAAAGGAGACCCACCACTTTTTAGCAAAGTTTTTCATTTTCTCAGCTGACTAGGCTTCTGCTTGAATCAACGTAGCTACACATATCTTGAATCTCTAGTAATCCAAATTGCATGCATAAAAAATTTCTAATTCGCTGAATTCTTCACTGAATTCTTAATTCACAGTAAGGCACACACTTCAGAAAACTGTTTTGTGGTGTATTTTGCACAACTGGGAAATGACAGTCAATCCATTGGGAGCTGTGGTTGGTATCCACCATCTGCCATTGAAAATGGACAGTGAATGCCCTAATTATGTACACACATACCGCAGATAAGTCTGTCTATAGTATCCTTTTCCTTCATGGTAATTTGAATGATACTCCTCTTGCGACAATGGGATGTGGCAAAACCTGAGGCTTAGTTCAAGGACTGCATAAATTCCAATATTCAAATAATCTTATTGGAAGTATTTTTTTTCCGTTTATGTATGTGTGTGCATGCACCTTGTGCGTGCTCACGTGTTTGCGTGTGTGTGACAGAATGTGGGGCCTTATTGTTCATGATATAAAGGCACTGCATTTTGTTTAGAGGGCCTTTCATCAAAACAAGGCAGCAAAATTTGCATTAAATGGACTTGGTTGATCTCAAATCCTCATTGTTGGGTGTGGATTAGCAAAATTTATCAACTTTCATCTCTTCTTGTCAATGACATTTCTATGGGAAGATTAATGAGAGGCTTAGCCTCAACTCCTAACCATAAAGATATACTTTTCCTTCATATTGTTAAATTCTATATGTAGCAACGATTAAAAGTTTGTCTTCCATAACGGAGTCCTTCAAGATGTTGCCTTCTTTTTTGCATTCCACAGCTTTACACTATTTTTATTAGAGTACAAAATTTTGAAGTTATTATAAAAACACCATTGCTTTCTAAACCACTTCATAGATTGTATAAATTGCACTGTAGTTACAACTGTTTTTCTATCTCATTCAAGATCTTCTTCTTTCTCCTAAATCATTCAGGACCAAACTATCTTTCTCCCTTCAAGGCGAACACCAGGCTAGCCTTGTTGTCGTCCAACCCTAGGAATTCTGGCTATGCAGTTCATCTACTACTTGTTTCCATGGCCTATTTTTTAGTGGCTAGATGCCTGAGTTCTGTGTATTTCTGTACATACATACAACACTTGTAAGACCATAATGTATTTTCTTATTTAATACAAATTAAAGCCAACTTAATCCAAAAAAAAGAAAAAAAAACTCTCCTTCGATGCTGTCATCCACTCTGAGCAAGAAAGAGGGAGAGGATGGTTAGCACTTGTTGGCCACCAAAAGATTCTTTTGGAGAGAGAGAGAGAGACCAAAATCTGCTGCCCACATAGAATTTATGCTTGTTTAGCTTGACATTTCGAAAAGATTTTTCTGTAAAAATCTAATGCCCTTTTTTGTAGTGGATTGACAGTGTTCTTTCTCAAGGCCGAGAAGTTGAATTCTTTCATGATGAATATCGATGTCCGGTGTACATCAAGGATGTTGTGAGGACTATACTTGCTTTAACTAATATGTGGCTTACTGGTATGAGTTTGATCTTTATTAGAAGGAAAATTGTTTCATGCGGGCTGGACTGCATTTCTACACATGCGGTCCAGAAAGTGTAAAGCATCCATCTTTACATTCATCTTAAAGATGGATGCAAGTAGGTGTTCCATGTAAAACAATGGAAACTAATGGTCCAAATGTTTTCTTACTAAAATTATTATTTCTAATTTTTCTAATTTATTTATTTCTTCATATTCATGATCTCCATGTTAGAGATTACATGTCCTTAAAAATTAAGTCTTAAAATCCATCTCAAAATAAATTTATTAAGAGGCCCGTATTTCTACATATGCGGGCTTGGCCGCATAGAAACCGGGTCCTTATTAGAAATATTCATGTATTCTCATTTGTTTAAGTGGGAGTATACCATGCATATATAATGGTATTCCAAGGCTACATTCACCCTCTGTTCCCTCATATGAATGGTTGGATATTAACTGGAGTTGAACCTATAATGATATTCACCTGGTCACAGTTAATCCGGACCATCCATCATTGGGATTGGACGGTGGATGCGGCTTGGGAATTCAATACAATGTGTATTACAAGCTCTTAGATGATGCAAGAGTATCTTTTCAAGGGCAAGCTTTCTATGCTTTCCTTACTGCATAAAACTTATATACTTTCTCCTATCGAACCCTTTATTCTGAATGGACGGTTGAGATGACCCCAATTACAACGTCACATCTCTACACTATTTTATTTTTATTTTATATTTTACAAAATATTTTGACACCAAATTTTGGGCATCCACTCCTCTCTTAAACTCGCACCTGTAAAAAATATAAAATTTTTTCTCAATAAATAAAATGACTAAAATATCCCTGAAATTTTCAAGGGGTATTTTGGCCATTATATTTTATCAAAAAATTCTTTTTTATAATTTTTTTTAGGTACGCTCCTTTGAGATGATGGTATGTACCGAATTTTATATTCATATAATTTATAGAAAAAACTAAAACTAAAATAGTTTAAAGCATCGGATCTAGATCAAAAGGTTTGTGGCTCACTTGATCTAAATTGGACGGCTGGATGGGAAGGAAGCATATATCTTCTATGCAGTAGGGAAAGTACAGAAACCTTTCCTTTTTTTCAATGAGATTTTTTAGGTTTTTGGACAATTATTTGATACTTACATCACTCCACAGTTATTACAAGACGCAACGAGAAATTGTCCTTGAAATTTATTGAAGTCGTGATGTACTGCCCTTTGATAATTGTACATAATTAGTGGCTTCTCTTTTGATGTCTATATTATATGCTTCTCTTAGATGAGAGAGAAATGCAGTTGGTTTTAAATGTTGGGGGCCCGGATAGGCTTTCACGCTTGGAAATGGCAGAGGTGGTGGCAAAAATACGTTGTTACGATTCCTCAAAAATTAAGTCTATCTCTGCATCATTGGTATGCCTGGTCCCATTATCATTATTTGCTGTGCTTTATTTGTTTAAGTACTATTACTCGTTACTATTAATATTATTGCCCTTGCTACTATAGTTGTTATTCTGTTCAATCCTTTTTTAGTGAAGGGCCCATCTAATATGATCCATATGATCATCATAACGCCATGACCATGAGGTTATCACTGGCCTATCAATGGGGTTGGATGGTGATGGAAGGGTGGGTTCCGCCACGATTCAATTAATAAATTGCACATTCCTACTTTCTCTCCATCGCTGTCCAACCGATCGATGGGACGGAGATAAACCGCATGGTTATGGTTGAAAGACCATATGGATTATAGTTTTTACGTTTCCATTTAATGAGATGTATGTTATGTGTTTAGTGTGTGGGAAAGGCGCAAATTGGAATCTGTCTATACTCTTTTAACTCTAAAATGGTTTCTTCTATTGAAGGATTAATTGTGGACTCTAAGTCTCTCTCTCTACTCTTGAACTGCTTTTTGTACCCAAAGATCTTTTCTGCCTAAAGAAGATTTTACTTTCTATATCCAAGGCCATCTCTCTCCTCATTGATTTCACTCTGGAAGACTCTCTTTCTTCTCTCTTTGACCACTGCTTTTGTATATGAAAAGATGTATCATTGAAATACTTCAAAAGAGATTTGTAAAAAGGAAAGGCTTCTATGCTTCTCCTACAGCGTAGAAGTTTTGTCCTCCCCTTACCACCCAGCCGTCCAATTTTGATCAAGAGAGCCATTCACCGTTTGATCTTAGATCCGACGTCTCAAAGTATTTTATTTTTAATTTTTTTTATACAAATTGTATAAATATGAAATTTGGTACGTGCCATCTTCTCATTGGGGTGCACTTATAAAAATATTAAAAATAATTTTTCGATAAAATATAATGATCCCCCTTGAAAATTTTAAGGGTATTTTGATCATTTTATTTATTGAATTTTTTTATTTATATATATTTTTCGCTAGTGAGAGTTTAATAGAGGATTGGATGTCCAAAATTTGGTGTCAAAACAGTTTATAAAAATAAAATAGTGTAGAGATGTGACATTGTGATTGGGGCAATCTTAGCCTTCCATTCAGAATGGACGGTTGGATAAGGAGGATGATAGAACTTCTATGCTGTAGGAGAAGCTTAGAAAGCTTGCCCTTGTAAAAAAAATTAAGAAAAGAACAAGCGCAGTCTGGCCCCAAAAAGCTAAGGTCTGGGCTACTAAATGTGGCCGAGGACCAGGCTAGGGATGGGCAACTACAACTGGAGGGTAGGGCCGGGCCTGGGTGAGGGCCTTTTGGCCCAATCAAGGTGGGGCCAGGACTGGCCCAATGGCTACTAGGACTGGGCTAGGGCCAGGAGTGGCTAGCCCCAGGCCCCCTGTATCCCCCTTAGAGAAGAACATCATTTAAAGAAAGTAAGCAGTTGCAGGGAGAGAGAGAGAGTGAAGATGATTTACACACAATTGTATTCATTTTTCTTTTCTATGAATAATATACAGATGAATCGTGGTGTGATCTCCCCTGCTGATATATCTATGGACATTAGCAAGTTAAATCGAGTTCTCGGCATTTCGCCAACACCATTTGAAGATGGCGTAACATTGACTCTTGGTGCCAACTAAATTTTTTATCTTAATAATTTCATTCCTTTTTTCTTTTATTTATTTCCATTTTCTTTGATGTGTTCCTTGGATATATGTATTATTTTCCAAAAAAATTATACTGACTCCTAATTTTGCTTCTTCTTGTTGTGGATTTCTCTTTTATAGACAGGTTATCTCGTGCTCTTTAGGGCCCCACAGTTTCTTATACTAGGATGGTTTCTAGGAGGGAAAAGTTTATAAAGGGTGAGGCCCTAAAATCAAATTAAGGCGTACTCAAAAACTCATTAGAAGAGGTTGTTTCGGTGTTGAAAAGTCTTTAATTCGATCGTTTTGACTTCAAGTCTTTAATTCGATCATGTCAACCTCAATATATATGGTCATAAGAAAAAATAAAATTTAAGTACTGAAAAGAGTGCAGCATCTTGTAATGTATCATTTACAACTTCAATTTTCAAGATTTTCAAACTGTTTATAGATATAGAGATGAATCACAAAGATTTCTGATATTGAAACATCTTTCGACACTATTTAAAATTACATTTTACCTGGGTTGGTAAAGGCCGCGGCCTTTTGCAGACTACACTCTTTTAGGGGTGGGAAAAGATAGGAATCATGTTCTTCGTGTTAAATATAGTAGATATATCTCAGTCTACTGGGCACAATTTTAAAGAGAGAGAGAGCTTAATTTGCTAGTCACAATTTCTCAGAATATGCGTCTATGCTTTTAATTAGTGGAAATCAGTATGATATTCTCTTGGTACGAAAGATGAGTAAGAGAATAGTTAGATTACTTTTCAGAGCTAGAGAGAGAGAGAGAGCATATATCGAGCTAGAGAGAGAGAGAGATGTAGTGACATTCATCAGAGGAACTGGACTTGAGAGAGAGAGAGAGAGAGAGAGGGGGAGAGGTAGGTGAGTGATGCTCAAATTCACTAATAATTTCTAAAGGAAAAATATTTGGTGAGTGGGTTGACTCACCTATTCTTATGCCGTCTCCCTCTAAAATATATCTCAAATATGTATTTTTTTATCTAAAAGTTTAGGTCTTGATAATCTCAACCACAACAATGATCTAAGTTTGAATTTTTTACGTTTTTTAAGAAGTACAAATATTGTTTTTTAATTCATTTTTCCATTGTACATTTTAACTTTCAGTAGATGTAACATTTTTTGACATCCATCTTAGAGATGGACGTTTGATAGACCAAAGACCATATGATAATTAGTGTGTCTCTTTCTATCTAAAATGAGTGTTCCCCACTTGTAGGGGTCGATAATGGGTCTTGTCAAACTCTGGGACCCACCCTAGGAATTGTGGATTGGTTCGGGTTCATTTGACCTAGATCTCACTTGGTCTAAGTTTGGGTCTAACTGGAACCTAACTGGTTCGGGTCGATGTAGAGCGAATGGGTGTGCTAGTATTCATTAAAAAACTGTACTCTTGATTATTTAAGGGGCTGTTTGTATAAGGTTTCAACCTTATACTATTGAAATAAAGTCCACCTCGAAACTATGTTCAAAGTAAAGCCTTGCATTGATATGAAAATCTATTGTTACCCCCAATTATGAAATTTGAAGTTTATGGAATAATGACGATCAAACAGATCTATAAATATTTGAAAATCTTGAAAATGGACGGTCTTGATAATGAGCCAGAAGAAAACTATTTTTAGGATTAGAGATCTCTTTTTTTTTTTTTTCATATCTATGAATGTCGAGCTCGATGATCGATTTGAGGGTTTTCCGACCTAAAACAACCTTTACTAGTAGGTTTTTTGAGGTGCACCTTACCCATACATTATAAGGTTAAGACCTTATATAAACCTTTTCTTTATTTAAATGGCTGCCCCTTTGGGTTTCAACTGATTGGACCCAAGTTGCGAATATTAGGTGGACTCAGGGTCCGCTTGACTTGGCCTCACCAATTTTTTGTTCAACTTGGACCGAACTTGGTTAGGTTGGGTTTGGATCCACCCAACTTGGTATTTCATGTTACTTTGTCATTATATTATAATGAAACCCTATTTTTTTGAAATTTATATTTGTGGCAATTATATAATCTTAAATTTTGCATAGGCACTCTCTTCATTCCAACAATCAAAATAAGTCCCACTCTAACAATGAATCTAGATTATGCATTTTATGAATTTCAAGATCCACGCATTTAAGAACTCAAAATCATTTTTCTCTTCTTTTAACATTGTTCATCTAATGATAACAAAATAATCTAAAAATTTTGGAAAAGAAAAAAAATATCATTCTAAGGTTTAGATTGAAGTATCTCACATAACAGACAACCTACATTAAATGGGTAAAAAAACTACTTTTTTAGGTTAGCTTTTACAAATTTTACTTGTTTTGTGATTATTCATCAAAATGAAAATAATGTATGTTTACAAATTGGGGTCAAACAAATAGCACTAGCTTGATTTTTGAAGATTGTTTCGTTATGTTACTATATATCAAGCTAAAAAAAAATTGCACTATATATATGCTTGAAAAAAAATTATAAGTTCCAATTGAAATTTAAGTTTTGAAAACTCCGAATTAAAATTTGTACTTTTAAGTAATCGCCTAGTGTTTCATAGATGGACACCAAAATATCATACAAATAAGAGAAAATTACGTACATATCCATTATAATTTCTATTATTACATAATTACAAAAAAGTTTTTCTTAATACATCAATACCTGTTTTTCCCCTTCATAACAATATTTTTAAACAATAATAGAACTGCCTTTTTCGGTTCTTCAATAACCGAATTATTCAAATTTTAAGAAATCCAAGAACCGAAAGCTTAATTTTTCAAATTTTGAAAAATCAAAATTCAACAGTTATCGGTATTTGAAGATCCAAAATTATGTTATCTATTATTCAAAGACTGAAAATCATTTTGTGATTTTCAGATAGCTACTGGAAAATGTACCCTTTATTTCAGAGAGCTCTTTTACTCGGCGGAATAAATCTACAATATGCACTAAGATGAAAAAAAAATTAAAGACGAAAGGGCACAGATCGAAGACAACGATTTTTATTTATTTTTTAAATAATTTAGTGCGGAAGACCCGCTCTTAGCCGTTTTTTCAATTGATTTAGGATGAATTTGTTTTTTAAAAGTATTATTTATTGAGAATAAAAACGACAACTAAAGCGTTGGGTCACAAAGTAGAAATGGATAAAATGGTGGATTATTTCCAAATGTATAAAAGCCCATATATATATATATATATATAAACCAACCAAAATGCCTTTTTTGTTTTTGAATTGCAGAGCCACTCTCTTTCTTTCAACGTGTTGACTCTCTCTGTGAACTCTCACAGTTCTTTATTTGCTTCACCAATGGGCAAACTCGATTCGCCACAAAAATCCGAAATTTCGGTGAAAATTTCGGTCATCCAAACGCAAAGAGAATTTTACCAAAAATTCTCCTTCAGTTTGATTCTTCTCTCCCTAATTTAGTGGATTTATGTGATCTCTAGATAAAAAAAGGATCGGGTTTCTATACGGCCTGGGTTTTATGAAAACAAAATAAAGCCTCACCTCAAATTCTTGTTTGGAAACTAATTTTGGTGACGGAAATCTCTATAATGACTCTAAAATCAATTTTCAACACCGACAATATAATTTAAAACTCAAAAAATGATACAAATTTGCAGATTTGTGAACACTTATTCTTAAGCTAAGATGGACAATTTAGATAATTTGTTATAATATATATTATTTTTAAAACTTAATATATATATATATATATATATATTTGCAACCATAATGCTCAAGCCAAGATGATTGATATCAAGGTTTCCAATGCTCGACTTGCAATCAAGGTTTCCAATGCTCGACTTGCAGATTTACTTATTTTGATAGGGCTGCAAAATCTCTTATATTTTGTCCCAATTACCATTAAAAAAAAAACTCTTATACTTTCATTCGTTTTAGCGCAATTTGAAACTACAACCTCGTTTTCATTGGATTTCGGTCATTTGAAAAGAAAAAAAAAATCTGCGATCAAATTATATTTATCAGGATAATATCGCCATTGGATTTATCGGATAATTGATGCCTCTTTGAGGTATTCAGTTAATATTTGGTATAATTTTTTCTTATAAATACGAATTTAATTATACATAATTAGGTAGTAATTAGCTACATATATACATTATGTATATTCTAAAAATCAAGATCAAGCTTTGACTCATAAAGCTACAATTATCCACAAAAAACCAAAAAAACCTGAAAACATGGAGATTCATATAGTTATGAGGTTTTGAAAGTTGATTATGAGGTTTATGAAAGTATAATTGCAGATCAGTACGGGGTTTCTAAAGGGCGTTTGGATACCTGTAAATCGATTACACAATAGATTATAAGGAAATATGGCATTTCCAATATTTACTATACTTAATAGTAAGGAAATGGAAATAGATTAGGCGATATTTTTAAAAGAAATCAAGAAATCCATTACGCATGATGATAGATGAAAAACTCTATTAAGGGATGACAGGTAATTTTGGAAAATCATTTAAAAAATCTATTAAGGGATGACAGGTAATTTTGGAAAATCATTTATGTATCCCTCATTAAAAAATCTTCTCTGTTAATAGCATAACTAATCATCCCTTTTTAAGCTCGTCCCATCCTCTAAAGAAATCGGCTACTATATAAAAATAAAAATAATAAAAATAAAAATTATTAATCAAAGATAAATTACACAACACAATCATAATAAAAAATTTCACATAACATAATCCTCATAAGATATTACTAAAATCTCAATTGAAATAACGTACATCTTTAATCTCCTCCAATACCTCAAAATTATATAGAGAGACATTTGAAAGACTTCTATAAAAAATAAACAAAAATAAGACTTATTATAATAAAATTATGTTATTCCAATTATATTGTTCCAATGACTTATCATGTTGAAACCAATGTCATGTTAGAAAACATGTGATCCGATGTAAGTGCAAAAGACATATAAAATAAGTAGGAAATGGTATTATGATGATGGTAAAATGATACAAGTTATTATTATAAAATAATTTTGGAATGGTGATGATGTTATTATTAGAAATCTTTTTGAAATAGTATGATGATGATTTTAATTCCGTATTTTAGTGGAATTTTGTGACAAAAAAGAAAGAAATGATAATTCTGCATTTTAGTAGAATTTTGTGACAAAAAAAAAAGAAATGATAGTTTATAGGCAAGTGCTGGTAAAATGTTGGTAAAGCATTTCCTATATTTCTTTTAGATATAGCTAAACAATAAAAATGTATTTCCCAGGTTGCATCTAAACACTACCCAAATAGTAACAATCCGTTTAGAGGTAATGTATTACGCATGTAATATACTTCCCTGACATTATACTTCCAAGTATGCAAATGGCCCTTAAAAGTATAATTGGTGGCCTCCTCGTTCTGATCCAACTGGGATGATTATGAGTTGGATCAGTGATTTTTTAATTAATTTGCATATGTAGGTTGTGGAAGATAAAGTTAGCCATAATTTCTAATATATGTTAAAAGATAAATGCTACTATATGACTATCCCTCACCCATGTGGGTAGGGCCCTAAAGGATCACCATTTAATTTGGCACGGATCTATAAAAAAGTCAAGTCCCACACTCATGTGATAACTTTTCTAAAAAATCCGTGCCAAATTTAATAATGATCCTTTGGGGTCCTACACACATAGGTGGGGAGGGTCCTATAGGATCATTACTCATGTTAAAATTAGAATATAAGAATTCATTGTTTCTCTTAATAAAAAAGTTAATATGAGATTACAACTTTATTGGGATAAATAAGGTTGCAGTAATCTACACTATCAATTTGATTTGGTCGATATAGATTGAACATTGTCTTAAAATACATGCTATGTATTGACACTGTCTTAAAAGATGTGTCGAAACTACACCATCAAAATAAAATAGAATCTGTTGAATATGCAACATTGGCTGTACTTTGTACAAATAAGGTTGCACCCTTATACAAACCGCACCCCTTCACTTAATTGCTTTAACTCAATTGTCTACATAGTTAGCAAGTTGGAGAATAATAATATGTTAGCGAATCAAAACATTGGTAATAAATCGATTTTATTTCAAATAGTCGGAGGAAAAAATTAGGTAAAAAATATAGATTGCTAAAAAAAGGAAAGTTATAGAATCGCGAATAATTCAGATATGGCTCAAAAATGGAGTGAAAAATGGGATATCTAATGATGACATACTATAGGATTATGATTTGTAGTTATTGTATAGATCCATTAAAGCCATTGAACAATAATTTTATGGCCTTACCTAGTGTTATTAGAGTAATACTTAACCATTTATTATCTAAACTCCTAATAGATCCAACAACAATGTTTATTATGTTGTATTTATTGGTAGCGTAAAATGAAAGAATAATAATCATATTAAATGCAAGAACTACATTAGTAAATAATAATAACGGTTAAGTAAGGTATAGGATTATTGTTTAAAAAGAAAGCAAAAAAGACCCCCAGTATAGGATTGTAGCTAACCAAAATAAAACACAAAGATGCAATGATCCATCTAAAATGCTATGTTGTATATGCCGATGAAATAAAAAATTAAAAATTAAAATATAAAAATAATTAAATTTCTATAAAAAAAGCTAAAAATGCTTAAACAAATTCAAATCTCACATTGAATTTCCAACTACCTAAATTAGTAACATTAAATATCTATATTGCTTTTAAATAAAGAAAAAGTTTATATCGAACCAAGGCTCTAAACAATCAAATTCAAGCCTACCTCAAAACTTTAACTAGAAAAGGTTGTTTTAATGCCCAAATATCCTCAAATCGACCATCTTGTCATCAAGATACATGGACATGAGAAAAAAATGGATTTCAAGTTTTAAAAATAGCATATTTTGTAATGCATTTTTTGACCATCAATTTAAAAGATTTTCAAGTTTTTATAGATATCTCGATCTAAACTATTTTTTGAAGCTTTATATTTTATAAATAAATATGAAAATATATTTTAAGGCTATCAAAAAGATTTTCAGGAATGAAACCACATTTCTCGACACTATTTGAAGGTAGGATCTAATTGGATTGTTTAGAGCTTAGGCTCTATACAAACCGCACCGTCACTGAAGGTTTAAAAGAAAAAAAAAGATATTTACTTACATTCCTCACATTCTAACCCTACCTATTATTTTGAGAAATACAATTGCTTTGATATCTTATTTTTTCATTCAAATTTTTTTTAAAGGAACTTATTGTTGAAATTACGACTATTAGCTTATAAGGATTAAAGCTTGCTGCGGTAAAGCAAAAGGTAAAATGAATTTATCGTAGTCAATAGAAAACCATTAGAAAATGAATTTATCATATATAACAGAAACGAATAGCTATAGTGAAAGTTTGTACGGTTTCGGTGAATTTCGGCGAAATTTTAAATTTTCAGTTTACAGTAAGTCGCATTCGCTATTTAAACTGCAATCGCTCGCTGCATAAATTCGCGGCTTGACCAAATTAACAGTGTTCATTTCCATTTTTTTCGCCATTTTTCTCTATCTAAGAAGGGAGATTCTGAGCTCTAACAGTGAGTTCAAACTGATTCAGCTCAGTTGTTGTCGTTGTTGTTTTTTTTTTTTTTTTGGGGACTTTTTGGCCTTTCTTGGCCAGTTTTCCTCTCTCTAGAAAGGTAGATTTTTAGTTTTAAGAGAGTCCAATTATTTATTCTATTTTTACCGAATTTTGGCGATTTTTTAGTCTTTTTCGTGGCGTATGAGGTGCTAATTTCTCTACCTTTTCACAGAAATATGTCCAGTTTTTAGTGCTATAGTTTGATTTTGGTACACAATTATTCTGCTAAATCGTGTTTATTTTCCTGTGAAATTTTTAGGATTAAATTTTTCTTCATTTTCTGTGAATTTTGGGGCTAAATTCTTCATTTTTTCTGTGATATATAGGAGCTAAATGTGGAGGCTTGCTAGAGCTTTGGCTCCTGATCTAAGGCAGAAGAGGCTTCTATCATGTGCTATTCCAGGTCCCTGCATTGTACACAAGCGCGGAACTGATATACTTCATGATCCATGGTTCAATAAGGTCCCTCTTACTTCCAATTCAATTTATCAATTTATTTTACTTCTATTTTTTACATTTCAGTGAGTTCATATTCTCATCTTGATCTCATGTTCTTTCTCTTTTTTCCCTAATTGTTTAGCATTTCTTCTTCTTCCTCATTTTTCTTTTAATTTTTATATTTTTGGCCCATAATTCTGGAAGATACAATATGGAGCATTATGTTGTCATGATGTTTGATTCAGCTCTAAAACAAAATTATATTATGCAGAGAAATTAGAGATTTTCCATGAGTGTTAAGAGGAGTGTAATTGTTTTTTATACCAATATTTTGCAGAAATTTAGGCAATACATCATGAAAAACTCATTTCTATATAATTTCTCCCACAGAAATTTAAGCAATATCCCATGAGAATGTATGGCTTTATACAGGTTTCTAGTTTCCAGAAGCTACCTTTGATGTGTAATTTTCTGTGATTGTTTTGAATGGTAGTTTTTTGTGATTTTGAGAAATTCTATGGTGGTTATGGAGATATGGATCACTGAAATTGCTCTTGAAAATGGCTCTATTGGTTTTCTGCAACTTGTGAAGAACAGGACACAGCCTTTCCCCTTACAGAGCGAGACAGGCTTGGATTGCGGGGTCTTCTTCCCCCTCGTGTAATATCATTTGAGCAGCAGCACGATCGATTCAGTGAGTTTGTTTTGTATATTTTGATATTATATTTCTCTAATGTTGTTGCAGAAACAAAATCACTGATATGTTATTGTTCTTTGTGTTCTACCCATTTAGTGATATGATTAATGCAGTGGTTTAAAGCAAGGAATCAAGTTGGGACTTGGGTCCTGAACCTGAGTCAGGAAAGTCAGAACCCGCCGAGTCTAAAATGATAAATGACAAAATATTGGGAATCAACAAGACTCGTTTGGTTCCCATGGACTTGTTCTGGATTGGCAGTGCCAAGTCCGAATAATTGGAGCAAGTCCTAATACATCTTGCCAAGATTTGATTTACTTATTTACTGGATTAATATGTTTGATATCAAATATGACACAGTTATGTTCCCTGTGATTAGCTTTTTTGTAGCTTTCTTAATATTTTGTGGTATTTTCTTGTTCTTGTATAGGTTATTTCGTTTGCCTTAACTTAGAAAGATATATTTCATTTGTTGTTTAAGCATGGATTTTCAAAGGTGTGACACATGGAACTGTGGTTCTGATGTATAATGAGTTCGTATGATTTCTACCATGGTTCGTAAAATATAAGTCCCCAAAATCTAGACTCTTTAGGGACTCGTGGAAAACACGAGTCCCCCAAAATATAATTAATTTCCTGAGCATCAGTCGCACTATTTACTGAAAGCCTGCACACTCCATGCCTAAATCAAAACTGTTTCTCTTCCCCATTCCAAAAGAAAGGAGGCCATATTAAAACTTTGGTTTTTCCCCCCCCCCTCCCAAATCCTGTTTAGCAGTTCACTATAACTAAATTAAGACTCCTTTCATAATTGTACATTAAGCACATGCTTTGCAACACGGGGAGCTACTCTTTTTTCCTTGCCTATGGAAAGCGAGATGCAGTTATCTTGCTATATTTGGCTTGTTTATGATTCTTCTAGTGATTTATTTTTAATTAACTTATGTGATTACTTATTTTGCCTCCAAATAACATATACTTCTTTTGCCTCCAAATAAGGTATGCTTTTATGATATTCTTTATTTTCTTTGGCATTCTAGTGGTTTCATTTCGATCCCTTGAGAATAATACTCGAGGTGAACGCGCTGATATAACTGCTTTGGCAAAGTGGAGAATACTTAACAGATTACATGACAGGAATGAGACCTTGTACTATAGGGTAAGCTTGACACTCTGATCTCCATGGGACACTGCATTTATTTCAAGGCTTTCAAAAAATATGTCGACAATTATACAATAAACTGTAAACTTATGAGATTAAGTTTTGTCATTGGTTTCCAGGTTCTTATTGATAACATAGAAGACTTTGCTCCAATAATATACACACCAACAGTAGGGTTGGTATGCCAAAATTATGCTGGTTTGTTTAGACGCCCACGTGGAATGTATTTCAGTGCCAAGGATAAAGGGGAGATGATGTCCATGATCTATAACTGGCCTGCTAACGAGGTAATTTTTCCTTACTGTGTACATTAAAACCAGCTATATTTATTGGATTCACGTAAAGTTGGATAGATGGCATATATTTGTTAGCTGCTTTTGAAATGAAAGAAGGTATGCTGTAAGATGTAACTCCTTCTATTAGATCATGGAGTTTACACTTGGTATAGATTCTTGAATGAAACTCCGCCATGCCGGTCCCATGCCCAAAGAAAGGGGATGGTTGTGTTAGGTTGGTAGCCAGCATAAAACTTCTGCCACATCTTTTTCATGAATCCTCGATCCAATGATAGATTCGTGAATGTGAAACTTTCATTCCATGTGTCTGTGTTGGTTTATTGGCAAGGAGATCAAGTTATTTTAGAATCTATTTTGGTCTAGCTCATGTCAGGCTATATAGTGTCCATAGAAGTTTAAGGTGGAAATATATGGAAAAACAACATATATAGCTTTATTTTTAAGATGTGCCATAAATCATAATTGTGTCGATTATGCATCTAAGAGAAGAAAGATAAAGGAATAGCATATGACCAGTACAAGATCTAAGGAGACATATCAGTGTATCCCTGCAGTTTAGTGAAGACAATTTAGTGTAAATACTATGCATTTTAATTTATGATATTTTCCCTTGAAAATCACAGGTGGACATGATTGTGCTGACTGATGGGAGCCGTATTTTGGGCCTTGGTGACCTTGGAGTCCAGGGAATTGGTATACCTATTGGGAAACTTGACATGTATGTTGCTGCAGCAGGATTCAATCCTCAGAGAGTATGAAGTCGATTTCTCTTTGACCCATAAACCACTCACACATGCACATAGTCTCCCAAGTATTCATAGAGATCAGCATATACATACTTTAAGAAATAATTCATTGTCCTAATTTCGATCTACAATTCTTAGATACTAAAATTTATAAATAATATATCATATGTATGTTATTGAATTAATATAGTATTCCTACTGGAACATAGTATTCTCTAGTATTCCTACTGGAGCATTTTTTTCATATTCACATATTCCTTCATTTGATCAATGTCAAAATCACATTGGGCAGGTTCTTCCAGTTATGCTTGATGTGGGCACAAACAATCAAAAGCTTCTCGAAAACAATCTTTGTAAGTGTGCTTGATAGTATTTGATGTCATAATTCCCAACATCAACATTTAAAAATAAAAAAAAAAAGAAAGAAAAAAAAGAGAGGATTTCATAATGCTTTTTATGTCATAGTTCTTTTAATATTTTGCATGACTCTTTGGGTCACGTCTCTTCTGCTCTTGCTTGATGGAATCATCTCTTTATGTGAACTTCTAGCACATTCTTAAAGATGTTTGAATTTTGAATCTAGATAATTCCTGCAATGCATTTCCTTCTCCTTTTTATGATAATTCCTGGTGAGGCATCTTCTTATCACATTTATTGGGGTTTTAGGCTTTTCCTATGCCAAGAGGTCGTGTAAGTTTTCCAGGTGGTTGGGGGCTGGTGGTGTGTGTCTGTGTTATTATTACTTCTACTACTTGTGTAGTGATAGTTGAAAGGGACTTTTTAATTTTTTTCTTTATATTTTGTTATTCATAATTGTGTTTGCAGATCATGTACTATTGTGCTTAACTTAAGCAGTTCAAATGATATTTTTTGGTATAGTTTCCTTCTTTTAAGAAATGAAGGTGGGAGTACACGTGCTCAACGTTATTCGATATGCCAGTTTTTAGCCTTGTACCACGCTGACCGGTGGATGTACTGTTAGAGTTTTTTATATCAGCAGTATCTTGCGATATTTTTCCAACAATGGCATGGAGAAGCCCATGAGGATTTGGATGTGTTGGCTCTGAATCATATCTCCTGTCTGGCTTCGAGTGTTTGGGATGCATTCCCATTATTATAATACCAATTGTGCATCTCAAACAATGCCATGAAAAATATTAGTACTTATCCAAAAAATATTAGTACTGCAACTGGATTTTTATGTGATCGCCGCATACCAAATAGGTTGAAAGGCAAGTTCTATAGGATAGCTATGAGATCAGATTTGCTCTATGGGGTTGAATGTGGGGCGGACAAAAAACAATATACCCATAGAATGAGTGTAGTAAAGATGAGGATGTTGAGATGGATGATTGGCAAGACAAAAAGGGATAGAATTCGAAATGAATCCATTTGGGAGAATTTAGGTGTGGCACCAATAGGCGATAAGATGAGGAGAGTCGACTTAAGTGGGCTGGGCACGTGTGGCGTCGACCAAGTACAACACCTATTAGGAAGTGCAAGGTAGTTTAAGTGGAAGGACTTAAAAGGGCAAGGGGTAGGCCCAAAAGGATGCGGTAGGAAGTAGTTCGAAAAGATATGAGACTTATGACCTCACCGAGGATATGGCCTTTAATAGAGCAGAATGACGGACCAGGATTCATAAAGCTGACCCCAATTAATTGAAAAAAGGCTATGATGATGATGATGATGATGATCCAATAACATAATTCTCACAAACCTTATCCTGTTTTTTGGTAATAAAAATAAACCAGCTGTCTATTCTTCTATGTGCATGCATATGTGTGTACAAGTGCATGCATGTATATCAATATATGTATATCTACTCTCACATGAGGTCATTTTACTTGTATTCATTCTTATTACAGATGTTTGGTTATTTATCATCACATATTTGTTTGTGATCTTTGCCATGCGATGATCATCATTATTCACAATCTCGCAATTTTCTTGGAACGGCTAAGCAAACTTGTGAGTTTCAATTTTCAAATTTTGTATGGATTGCATCAAAAAGGTAGATATCACAAAATAAAATTGCACAACTTATAAGGATCACTCGTTAGAAGGTTTAGGTCTGTGGAGATTAAGAGGTAACAATATGAGCATCAATAATGAGGCAGAAGAAGCATGGAAACCTACAATAGAGTAAGGTATGTAATATCACTTTTTGATCCTGCTATGTATACCTGAATGACTTACCATTTCATCTCTCTCTTGCTCTTACAAGGCTCTAATCTGAAGAGGGATCTACTGACATAACAGTGTGAAAATCTATTTTCTGATTTCCTAGCATAACCTCTTGTCGTGGGTTGCTCATAGAAGTTTAGAGATAAATTCATATTGGATCAGATTTAAGGCTGCCTGCATCCAGACATTAGTCAAGATTAAGATGTATACCTGTTTACCTTTTTTAATCTTGGGCTTTGAGCTTTCAACATTAATTGGTATGATTTTCTTTATTGGTAAAGTTGTCATTAATTTTGCTTAATATATAATCCATTTACATGTTTATTTGGCATAAGAGTGACGATTTTATTGTTTGTCTGCATGTTGTCATTGTATGTATTATTATTAACATGCTATGCCTCTAAGTTTCATTGCACGATCATAACAGATCTGGGATTACGGCAACCTCGATTGGAGGGTGATGAATATCTGGACATTGTTGGTGAGTTTATGGAAGCGGTATTCAAGAGATGGCCAAAGACTATTGTCCAGGTTACTATTTTTAAAAAGATTGTCTTCAAAATTGATAGGTTTTCCATTTTTACTTGTTAAGCACAAGATTGAACACACAAGCTATGGTATGAGGGTAAGAGCTCCCAACCACCAGGCTATGCAGGTTCACCGCATGATTCACAACATTAAATGGTAAATCTGAATGTTTATGGTAAACCTGACAGTTTGAAGATTTCCAAATGAAGTGGGCCTTTGAAACTTTGCAACGATACCGCAGAAAATTTTGCATGTTCAATGATGATATACAGGTGATTAGGTTGTCATCCTAGTTTTGTTGTTCCTTATTTTTATCAATGTTTGATATGGTGGTTAATTTTTTGATTCATGGTCAGAAAGGTTGGCTTTGTCAAATCAAATCTTCTGAGATTTCTTTTTTTTTTTTGGGTAAATATTTTTTTGTCATAGGGAACTGCAGGTGTTGCACTTGCTGGACTATTGGGGGCTGTGAGAGCCCAGGGTCGACCTTTGTCTGATTTTGTAAAGCAAAAGATTGTTGTAGTAGGAGCTGGGAGGTACTTCAAATTTTCTATCTGATTCATATATTTGTAAAGAAATTTTCTCATAGATGTTCTAAGCTTTTGGTAGTTTCTGAATGCTTTCACTTCCATTGGTTGATTGACTGCAAATCTAGTCATGTCCATTGTAAATCATTGAAGTAAACATTCAGTGCAGGGATTGGGGTGCTTAACATGGCCAAACAGGCAGTTTCGAGAATGATGGGCAACCCAGACATGGAAGAATTTGCAGCAAAAAACCCATTTTGGCTACTTGATAAATTTGTGCGTTTATCTCTTTCCCTGTTTCTATCAAATAGGTCATCCCTTTCTTAGATCATGCAATCTCATGTTTCTACTCTAACATCTATTTCCATTTTGTAATGCCCTTATGGTATGGACTAAATAAAGTACGGTCATTCTCAATGACCAAGATGTGTGACACTTTGTTTCCATAAATATTGTGGAATTCCTTCATTTTACATTGATGATGGATATTAGTACCTACTAGGTCTTGTGAACTATGTTTTGTATAACTGATTAGATGATTATAAACATGCTATACTTTTGCAATGTCCCACTGTAAGAATTCTGTTGGCCTTGATATTATTAAGAATCCCTGTTTTTTCTTTCTTTTTGTTGTTCTTTAGGAGGCGCACTTTGAAATATTTAGTTTGTGCTATTATTTACAATTGAGACACTAGTAATGCAGTTGCTTGAGTGGTATAACTATTTATTACCAACACGCTTAAGTGCTACTAATTCCCCTGTCCAGCAATAAAATCCTGTTGGCTTGAACTTTTTTCATTCATCCCAGTCACAAAGGATATCCGTTGTTTTTCTTTGCTGTGCACATACCATTTCTATCCTTCACATGCCTCTATCAGATTCACAATTTCACTATAGGAAAATGCATCACACAATCCCTCCTTTTAAACCTCCCATACCTAAGTTGTCATTGAACTACATGTTTAAAATGGCTCATTGATTATACTGTAAATTAGAGTGAAGATTTTTTTCCTTACACCAACTTTGGTGGATGCAGGGCCTTGTCACGAAGGCCAGAAAGGATCTTGATCCAGCAGCTACTCCTTTCGCAAGGGGCTTTGGTCCCTGTGAGATAGAAGGATTAGGGGAAGGTGCTAGTCTCATTGAAGTGGTAAATTCTTCAAGTACAGGATCCAGCTGTCCTTCTTTGTTTTCTTTTTCCTTTTGTTCCTTTTGATAATTTTCCACTATGCAGATTTTACCGTTATTTTGTGATTCTTATGTGACTGAATATGGATGTGCAGGACACATACATAAAAACTTAATGATGTGTTTATGCATAACATAAGCACAGACATAACCATAAAGGCAACTGTGTGTGTGTGAGGAGAGAGAGAGAGAGAGAGAGAGAGAGAGGTAGTTACTAATAAACTAGTAGTCTCTACTTACTTTACTATACGTACGTAACCGTAACGGTAAAAAGGTAAACGTAACCTACTATAGTGTCGTTTAGGTTTAGTACGTACGGTGGTGGTAGTA